GAAAGAACGTGACAAGAACAGCCTGGGGCCTGATGGTGACTGTTTCAAAAGCGCCCTCCCCACCTTTCTGCACATAAAAATACATATTATAGTATGGTCATGGTTTTACCTTGCGCATGGTTTTGCATTGGGAGTATTCTTAATCAACTGCCAACATTGTGGGATTCCAGTTTGGAGTCCAGAGCCAGGAACTTTCTGCTTTTCGCAATGGACCTGTAACGGTACAGTGGGCATGGAGGCACGGACAGGCAAACAGCAGGTTCATATGGTTCTGCATTTTCTAGTGCGCTATATTTAGGTCACAAGGGTATTACTTCTATTTACTTCTCGGGCTTTTGGTTGACGTTCAATGTGTACCTGCAACGTCGTGTTTCTTTTGTTGGCCGGTAGTTCGACGTACCTTTATTTGGGTCTGTGAACTGTATAAACATCCGCATGCAAAATAAACATCCGCTGAAAACCACTTTCGGGCAAAACACCCGTGCCTCACCAATAGACGCCTGTAGCTTGTACAAACGCCCGTGGAGTATCAGATAAAATCAGAAAACTAGAGACACATCCGCAGACTCAAATATAAGGCTGTGACTCCAAAAGATGGTTTTCACCCTGCAGATCCAACAACATAGTACTGAGGAAGTTCCAGGTATAGGTCCAGTACAATTTTTGATGATTTTCTTGTTTACAAGGCCACTTATATAACATTATATAACTATAACCCTGCCAGGGGGTTCCAGCAATTTCTGCAACCAGGAAGAGGTGTTCATTGTGATTGCTTTTGTGTTGAGAGGACGTAGCTCGCTACACACAGAGGGCCTCACTCAGCAGGGTGTAAGGCCATGCACTGCATGCACAACTCAGTGGTTTCGAATTTGGTGCAGCTCTCCCGCTCAAGCCTTCAGCTTCGCAAGTTGTAACTGCCACCTGAAGACCTGAAAGGTCACCCCGGCATACCCCGGCGGAACACCGAGTCACCGTCGCCAGAGACCCGACCAACCATGGACCCGGGCTTCACGACTCCCCAGGCGGACCCGAGCTTCACCCTCGCGCTGAAGCGCGCGAGTGAAAGCCGCCCGGAGCGCTGGCTGTTAGCTTCGCGATCGATGCACGCGAACCGGTTCTCGTGACGGTTCTCGCGACCGATGGGGAGACCAAAAAAGGGGAGAGGCACAAGGCGATCATCGCAGATTTTGGGGGTGCTCGCTCCCCGACGTCGGACTTCCTTCGACTTTCGGAGAACCTGGGTGACCTTCGATATAGGACCGCTCTTCACGGACCAAACAGCTCTCCGAGGTGCGAACGTGAAGTCCGCCACCGCGCCGGCACTGGGGCATCGCCGATGGAGCAAGTCGTCTGAGGAGGAAACCCCGCGCGAGTCGCCGCGTGTGATGCCGTCCGCGGTGAGTCGGATGGAGTGGAAGTCAGACGAAGCCGGTGAGCCGGTTTTGGCGAAAAGGGTCGACTCGACTGAGGACCATAACCCCCCAAGGCCCAAGCCTGAAGTCCAATTCAAGTGGTGGTGTTGATTCATCAAGAGTCTACAATCCAGGGGTCCTGAGGGCAACTTGTGTCCACACACGACTCACGACCTCTCCAGAATGAACACCTATATAGCGTATATAGAATCGATAGAATTACTAGAACGGACCCAGCAGACGCACACTGCAATGCACATTTTGGCACTAAGACACAATTTTTTGCAGAAGAGTTTCACAACTTGCGTCACAGATGCTGTTAGATCATGATGTCAGTATGAGCGAGTAAGCAAACCATTTGGCTCCATTTGGTTTTAGACAGGACGCATATCGTTTGGAGAGCACCGCGGAGAATGGGTGCCCTCGATGGATGAATCACCGCGTCTCTGATGTCCTCGACCGGAGCCCAACTCACCGGACCATGGATTGGATGGCCTTCCTGTCCGACCTAGATCGGTGCTGGATCAATCTAATCGGGTGCTGCGCTGCAAGGTGCGAGGTCATGTCCAAAGCATTATCCAAAGCTCCAAAAACCGCTTCTTCTTCCATGCCGAGGGCAACGCCTTCAACAGGATGCGAAGGGTGGCCATGGAAGTGGACACAGCGCCAAACCCATTGCCACACTCTCTGTAGTAACACCACCATCACGGACTTCTCGAAACCGATCCGGCCAAGAAGTGCATCAACGGTACCACGTCAAACCACCGTCAAAGCACCCTAGCAGCGGCTTGGGCCACTCAAACCGCACAGCTTCCCGAGACAACCGAGACAACATAATAAGTATAGATAACATGAATATCAAAGCCAACAACCACACTTCTACAAAATTTTGGCGATGCATCGTGAATCTTGAGTGAAACATACTATTACCCCCACCCAACCCCCAGCCACCAACCGTAAGAATGCGACAACTGTTCGTCATGAACAGCTGGAAAGCCCTACAAAAGTACCAGACGCCCCATGACGACGGTGCCAACTTGACAAATCCGGCTTTGTCATCCACCTTGGGAGTAGTTTCTTGATGTTTCTGGATTTTCTGGTAGTTGTTTTATTCCCTACCAATCAGTGGGCAACCTTAACCATTTTGCAGACTGCTGATGGCAAAGGAGTGGCCTTTGTAGAGCTGCTCTGTGTCTTTGTGGGGAGAGGATACAAGTTTCAACTTTTTTCTGATTTGAGTGTCGACTTTTGCGATGCGTTAAAGCACTTTAAACGAACCATCGTCGCCATCATGGCCACTCCGGACCAAACATTAATTCCGGGCCTCTATCGTTCAACAGAAGCATACAAATGCGGCAGAGCTCTTCCTAAGGGCGCCATTTTCGGAGCCAGACCTCTGTTCACGTTTGAGGAGCTTGAACGGTTTGCGGGCATTTTGTTGGAAGGCTGTGGCCAAAGCCTGACTACTTGGAGATTCCCCCTTTCGATGTGCTGTGCATAGATCTTTTGTCTCACATGTTTTCTTTTACGTCGTTAGACCTGAGTGTCTGCGATGTGCCTCCTACAATGGGAGGTATGGGAGATGCAACAGGTGGAAAGTTTCGTTATAATATCCATATTCCAGGGAACTTCTGTGCAGGGCCATGTGCCACCCCTCTCCGGCAGGAGCTGCCTCCAAGTAGGGATGCCTCAGATTTTCGCAGCAGATGTGCTTGGGCCGGGCTGGGGCCGTGTTGAGCTTGAGCTGCTGAGTTGATGACATGCTTTCAATCTGAGCACTCGACAGTGGTGTCGAAGCAGCCTTGCTGAGGTGAGCCGGTGGCACCTGGCACCGGTTCTGAGGCGGCCGCAGGGGCTACAGGGACTGCAGGGGCTGGGTCTGTGCGAACTCGGCGAGTTTCTTTGGTACGCTATGACACTATGTGACTATGTGTGAGGAGTAAGGGCATGTAAAAGCCAAGGCCTAAGGCCTAGGCCTTGAGCCTTTCTTTACTATATAGTCAGAACATGTCAGAAGTCAGAACTATAGTATAGTCAGATTCATGTAGATGACTGGAAAATAGGACAAACGACTGTGGTTAAGTACATCATTATACATCGATGGATTTCCACTAGCCCTTCACTAGATGTTGAAGTGAGCACTGCCTCTACATGTGTCCAATCTTCCTGAAGAAGGAGTCATTTTCCACCAGGCCATCTCTCCTTTGTCGAGCCTCCAATGGTCCCTCTCCGTCCTCGCGGGGTCCCGCAGACCACGCTTCAGCGTGGCTTCTCCGACCTGGCCATCTCCTTCGCGAGCCTTGATGAGAGCATGTGAGGAGGCGACCAAGATGGACCTCCGGAATCGCGATGGCGACCTCGGCAGAATGCCGAGGTGTTTTAGGAGTTTTAAGGTCATTCCTTGGGCTTCTGTTTGTATGTTTTAGTCCTTATGTTGGATACGGGGTCAGTAATATATTATGTGCGTGTGTGAAAAATATATCTATCTATCTATATCTCTCTCTCTATATATATATGTGATTATATTTATGTCTGTTTGTGTGTGAAAGATGTACCAATATTGGATCTAGAGGTGTTCCCAGCTGCCACGGCCCGCTCGCACCGCCTGAACGGCCATTCAGTAGGGCCACGCGTGTTTTCGTTGTTTCATTGCAATGGTTCATTGATATTGGATGATATTTTTCGTGCTCAGTCATTGCATCCAATATTATAATATCATCCAATGTAGCTCGCAGCTGGCGAGGCAAGGCGAAGGAAGAAATATGACTGATGGAATGTTCTTGGTTTTGAGTGGCTGGACTGGCCGGAGCTGCAGTGTTGAACCCTGGAGGATGTGGCACATCAAGTGTTGGATGGAGAGCATATGAGAGCAGTATATAGATCAGGGAAGTTCAAACGGGTGAAGCCCAAGATGAATGGTTCATTCATGGAAATTGAACACAATGTCAGAGCTGGTCCCCCAAAACCAACAGGTCAATGAAGATCCTTCCGGGGTGTCTCTGCGTGGCTTCCTATGGCTTCATGCATGACCTCCGTCTCACACCAATCCTGATTTGGCAAACGTATCTCGTTTCACTCCGCGTGACCATCCGTCCACATGGCCAACTAAAAGCAGTTTGTTTAGCCGCCCAGACGCACAGACCTGAAACCATGGGAATGGCAGGAGGAGGACCCTCCCATGTTCAATGCTTTTCTTGTGGCAACGGCGGCTGCCACATGTCAAGTTCAAATGATCGCAAATTGTTAATTGTGGCACTGTCAGTTTGGACAGGGGTGCAGCGCCTGCGCCTGCGTGAACAAGGAGGGAAGTGGAACCGTGGAAAACCCATGAGCCACAGGTGATTGGGCCCCTGGTTCCTAGCAGGTCTTTCTTTGGGCTGTTTGCTCATGGGCTACGCATCGGGCCAAGAAATGGCACACCTCCTGGTCCCAAGAGATTGCTAAGTCATGCCCCAACATTTGACCACGTGTTCAGCGTTGTCCATCAGGCCATCCGTCTTTGTTGGGGGAGAGGGCCTCCGGGACCTTTCCCTTGGACCTTTCCACTTCTGGAGCTGGTGTCCAGCTGGGGTGCTGGTCCAGCTTCAGGTCCAGGTGTGATGTCAATGACTATTTCATCCTGTACTACGAAGGCCATGGCACCGTCCTACGAGACCCGGACTTTCAGGCGGGACCGGTCGTCAGGATGACGGCGGAAAGGACCGGTGAATGCACACCGGTGCGGGCCCGTGCGGGTCCGGTGAATCCTGGCCGTCCTGGCCCTCAAGACGCAAAACAAGACTCCTGAGGTCTCCAGGCTGTCAATTTCACTGAAGATTTGAAAGATGTGGTGAAGATGATCGCATGGTGGAAAATCTCTCCAGATTATTGTTCGACCCGATTCCTTGCAGTCAGGGTACGCATGACGAAGCCTTCGTCTTGGTGGATCCCAGCGGCAAGGCTGACTGGTCGCGGGTCTTTTTGGGGGAGATACGTGGAAGGCACAGAAGCTTGTGAAAGTGAAAGTGGCGATCAGAGGCGAGACATCTGGAAGCTTTAAGTGTCTGATCATTTGGGGTTTGGCAGATGCCCAAAGAAAATCACATCGCAACATTTCTGAGCACAAGGATCCATGGTCGATGGCTAATTGTTGTGTCTCTACTTCTTGTTTCTTCTTGTAAGGTGTTCAGAGCGGGGCTGGTTTGTGGGCAAACCAGGAAATCATGTACAAATCGCGAGCATGCAGCATGCATGAATCTGCCCCGCAACCCTTGCTTTTGACCGGAGCGGTTGGCGCGCTTGGCGGGTCCAACCCGGGCGAAAGCGTGTCTCAGATCTCTCAGCTGTCGCAGGCCTCACCAGCGACACTCTTGTTGGAGAATGACTTCGCTTCCTTGGACAGATCCTCAGACATTCATTATACTCGCCAGCACTGACATAGGATTTGTCGGAAGCATAGTCAAAAACACAACTCCCATGTCATGAGGAAAGAGGACATTTGCCGAAAGCCACGTGTCCTGAGTTGTGAAGCAAATAGCAAGATCAGGAAACTTAAGACACCCTCTTGAGGATTCCTGAAACGGTAGACATCAAGGACAAAGAATAGACAATGTTAGGTGGCCGCTTGTGATCAACCTGGAGCCCTTCAAAAGGACTTTAGCCTCCAAGTTGATAAACTGGCGATGTGCCCTCAAGATGATGGAGCATCCAATTACTGTATATAAAGCTACTCTCATTGGCGGTTCATGTGATTTTTGATTTCATGCAGACCCATGTGCTATGATCAAGTGATACCACGTGCATCCTAGTGCCCGATAGCGGAGGTCCTTGAAAACCATCTTCCATTTTGGGTTCACTTTCGGCATATTCAGGGTTCGCAGGGTTTCGTTTCTCGCTTGCCCAGATCCTGGAGAACTTCAAGCCTGAGACCCGAATCCTCCTGCTCACGGACGGGAGCATATGTTTCTTGGGGGAGTCAAAAGAACTGGGATGCCAGGGCATACATGGAATGTTATAACCCCGGGCCTTGGGGTTAAACAAATATTGGTGTAATCGGATTTGCGTCACACATGAAAAGACGATAAGAGCAAACACAGATAACATAGTATGGCCCAAAATTTGTCACCCTGACCTGTCCATTTCCCATGTGAGCACCTCTCCCAAGTCAAAGGATGCTGTTGTACTGAAGAGAACTGTTCAGAAGACTGTTTTACTGAAGTCGAGTTCTTCTTTGAATTCTTCGAGTGCATCGACCTCCTGAGAAGAGAAGTCACGCTCAACTACCTTGTAAAAACGATGAGAGCAGACAAAACACGATAACGTGCTTTGGAGAGCGGCAAAGAGTATACGGGGTTCTCATGCAACCCCACATAATTAGATGTGCCGCAAAATCACAATTAATCAATATAAATCACACATACTCAAGGTAATTGTATGCACCCAGAAGTCCAGTCCATACAGTACATATATATAGTTATCATTGCATTTCTGAGAGGACTAGTACATATACATATACAGCAATACCCGCATTTGATTCGCCCACCCTCGAGATGATCAACGGATGGATCGATTTTGCATACGCGTGGCCGTGGCGCAAGGTGTGTTTTTGTTTCTTGTGGTGATGCTCCCCAAAATGATCAGAGGGATTCTTCAGGGCATAGGACTCAGAAAATGCTTGCTGCTTGCTGCTAGTGGATAGGACTGATGCAACATATATTGTACTGAGTGTATGACAGGTGCTTGATGATGTTTCATTGGAGCAATTGCACCTGTACTCAACTCTTCAGGTCCACATCTTGATCTGGATCACGTTTGGCCAAGTTTGACCATGCTACATGGCCGCCGTTTGGCCACATCTTCGTGGGACGGTGCCGAGACAGTGGAAGCTTGTGAAGAAGATCGGTCAAAAGATGGCTGCCTCACCCAATTCATGGATTCGAATCCGGGAGTTGGGAAACCTTGGATCCTCCCATCCTCCCATCTCCAGGATGCTGGTCATGAAGTTCCAGTCATCGATTTGACAAGAGAGCGCTGGTGCGTGGCCCAGCATGGCTTTGCAGTCGGAAATTGGAATTGCATGGTTCAGGAGTTCTTTCGGTCGCAGATGCTACGCACACCCCCGCGCGAGAAGAACTGTTTTGCCAGGCCCTTCGGGTTACCAAACTGCACCCGGTGAGGCTGCACTCCCCAAAGAACAGACCGAGTGACTCTTATTGGGTGCGTCCTGCTTCGGCAGGCCCCCGGCTTCCGACCACACCAGTGGGACGTTTCAGAAACTGCTTCAGAGATATGGTACTGATTTTTGCTCCCATCGGTGGACTGATTTCAACACCATATTTTCAGATAGTAGCAATGGGAGCTACCCGATCACATGGACAACAGCAGACTCAGCACAGATTTCAGAACCAAGGGTTCTGAAGTCCCAGGGTGGATGTGCATTGCGGGAAAATCTTGGAAACCAACATTTCCAGGCTGTTCGATGGGGCCATTTAGCAGGTGTCATGACCACCATGACCTACAGAAAACACGATGCTCGCTACGGCTCTGCGCAGCTATTTTTTTATGGTTCCTCCCGCATTGAGCTCAGGGAGCCAGAGACTTGCCGGCAAGCAGATAGAGAGTCACCCTGATGTAGAAGGACTTTGGATTTGCCGTATTTCATTTGCTGGTTCAGAGGCATTTGAGGCATCTAGGACTAAAAAGTTGCAATTTGTGGACACTCCATATCTCATGATGGAAGGGAACCACTTTGCCCAATCTCACTTCTCCAGAACTCTCTCCAAGCCGTGCTGTAGGCAGCCCCAATGGAGGCGAGATGCTCCGGGCAGTGGGTCCGTTTTCAACGGAACTTGTTAATAATGTTCATATTCCTCCACCAACCTAGATTGGTGCTGTGTGTGCGACAGTTCCCGCATTTTGGCCTCAAATGACTATGGTGTCCTGGGACAGGTTGTGAGTCTCTTGGGGCACGCTTGGTCGACCAGGAGCAGCTGGGCTGCCTCAAGTCCAAGGTCAAGGAGGAATTGGATGAGGCGCTCAGTCATCGATCGCGCCGCGCGCCGGAGGGGCCTCACACTTCGACGGCCATTCACGCTTCGGAGCGGGAATCCGGTCGAACGCACGGCCGATGACAACACGGATAGGGTAGGAGAAGATAGGATCCCTCGGACCATCATGGAGGCTGAGAAGGCCCTTTGTAGAGGAAAAATGCTCCTGCACGCCGGAAGGAAGGATCTTGAAGGAGTGCAGGATCCCCCAAAAGACGGAGCTTTTCATTTCCAGGGTCCAGATTGACATAGATTGACCCAAACCGCAGAAGGCCCCGGCATGACGGGGGCGAACTTGGGGAGGGGGGTTTTGCGTCCTTTCAATTTTTTACATCAACCTTCTAAAGGTCCAGCCAGGCAAGAGCAACAGTGGCAGGTCATCTCGAGATCCTTCTGTTCAGGTGGCTTTTAGGCCTTTCGTTCGAGGAAGGTGATGAAACATCTAGGCTTCCCGTGGTTCACTGCCCTTGAGCTGGGTGCCTCATGGTGCTTCCAGCTTCCACCTCCATGCTTTTGAGCGCGTTTAGACACTAGCGATGCTAGGTGTATCACATGCGGGACCAGATCAAGAAAAAGCTGCTCGGCCAGGCCTGCATTTGGTGACACAGCTATCCCAGGCTTGCTGACCAAATTCCATCCCTTTCTGGCTCACAGCGCCGAAAGCTGGCAACATGGAAACTTATTGAAACCTACTGGGGGTGTGCACCATGATTCGGTGCTGGGATCGTTTGAGAATCGTATGCATGATATGCGATCCCCCCGCGCGACCGAGACTTTGTTCTGCGTGTTTTTAATGCTTGCTGTTCATCTCTCGTGTGCACCCAGCTATAAATATAGAATTATACTTATACTCATGACGCGTGTCCAGTGACTGATCTGGAGTTTGTGATGGCCGGCCACAGGGTGATGTCCAGTTGGTTGAGTAGATTGGGTCCCCTACACGACCACGACGGGGCGATCCTATGGTGAGACACCGGAACCAAAGCATCTCCGTGGGTTGCCTTGCACGTGCTTACTTAGGCAGTGAAGCCTGAGTGACCCTGCAGGAGCTTCCCCATGCCTTCCTGATCATGCTCTTCCGAAAATCCTCCCTTGCATTGCCAGAAAGAGGGGCAACCTGATCAGAAAACGATCCCGTCCTTTCCGTGGGACACGGGGTCTCCTGCTGACCGGGGGGTCGAAGTGCGTGCTGCGAGACAGTGCGAGACACGGGGTCGCCGCTCCTGGCGCCAGGCCAAGCGGCAAGAAGGCGAAACCAGCACCACAGCGGCACCAGCACCAGCAGTAAACGTGGAGGCGTCAAGCTTTGGAAGTTGAATGGGGGGGTTGTGTATCAATCAACGCACTAGCAGCGTTCTTTTGACTTGGGGGGGGCATATCGGGGCGTAGTTGTTGAACATGAATGTTGTCAATGTTGGTGCCTTTCCGGGAAACAGTTGTTAGAAGGGGTCGCAGAGGAAGGTGAATCCGCCAGAAAACCGTACCTGGTGCCTGGCACGACATCCATGTTGAAGAATTAAACTCAACTGCTTGGAATGATGTGGAGTCTTCTCCCTCCCAACCCTTGCAAGATAGATGGACGCATATCACATAATAGTTACATATTGGGTGAAACTCAATCCAGCCCCAGGAGTGTTGGGACTTTTTGATCCGATGGATGCCCCAAAACCAAGGCCGCCTCACACGGTCCAGGCCTACAGCGTCAAGTTGAAGGGCCTCCTGAGCTTCGTCGATGTGGCGGCGCAGGCGGGCCGCGATGCCGACGAGTGGAAGAAAGCACCAGACAGTGAGAAGTGCATGCCAAGAGAGCCCCATGCCAAGGGGCTGTTGGAAGGCCACTTCTCGAAGGATTCGATTACAGACAGCAAAGCACAATCTCGTAAAATCCCGTAAACATACCTGGATGATCGAAACGGCACAAATGACTGCAAGAAACATGCGGCACATCCGTGTTTCGACTTGTCGCGACAAGTCGGACACCGGCAGCAAGGTGAGAAACCAAAAAGAAGCGGGGAGTGAAGCGGGGTTTTTACGCGGCGTCCCAACCCATTCATGGATTTTGAGCACATGATTGCAACCCCTGGAGCAGCATGCCGTCTTTTGACTACGGTGACGTTTCACTGAAACATGCATCCGGCAAGAATTTGTGCCGTTTGACGATCCAGGCGTATGTATACATGGTTTGTTTCAACAACATAGCCACCCCCCAAACTCTTGTAGTTGTTTTGGCATGCAACGGAAATTCCTTCACTATCACTTTAACTTTGGGAGCTCATGCAAGACCGCTATGGTATGCATGTGTATGCATGCAGAAACCCAGGAATTGCAGTAGCACAGCGGGTGTCCTCCCGTCCAGCTGGAAACTGTGGAGTGGCATTGCTCCCACCATGACTGCCACGACGCCCTTTGGTGCCTTACATCGAAAGCACTTGTTGAACCGTTGCCAGCCTATAGAATCCCAATGTACCCCTGATCTTTGCACAAGCCTGGTTTCGTTAAAGGCCTATCCTACATCCCACATGTTCTCAGTGGTTTTGATCAAAACAGCTGATTTCAGGGGAGTGAATCTTGAGTGGTAAATGCCTGAGACTGAGACCAAGCAGCTGGGCTTGTTTGGACTTGAATGCCCAGTGACGACGGAGGGGCGTGAACAGAATTAAAACATGTGCACCGGTCACCGGCAACATGGGACGACCTTATTGTTGTGTGTGTGTTTCTTTTTTTGTTTTTATTGATCAACTGTCTATATTCCTGCTAAGCGAAGAGCCAGCAAAGTCTGTAAGCTCGTTGGGGAGATGCACCGCAGACCTGCAGGCAAAGGCTGCTGTGAGACAAGACGAACGAAGAGAACTACGCAGGCGAAGAGAACGAGCTCAGGGACTAAGCAAGTTCTCCAGACTCGTTCACATCAAGTTAGGCTCCTTTGTGCTTCATCTATAACTAGCGCTTTGAAGACTAACATGGACTCTGAAAACCGCTGGCTGGTAGAGGATAACAACCTTCCAGGGGGACATTGCCATTGTCAAAATCCATGTGAGTTTTCGGGAGGCTATGGCTTCCTTGCACCAGTGGAGTCAACCTCCCACAGGCCCCCACCCATTTGCATGCTGCACGGTTTGCTGTTTTGGCGAGGCAAGTCGCGACAGAGTGCGGGGCTCAGAATGCCGTGCGACAGAGTGCTGACATTCGAGGCTTTTGTTGGTTGAGCTTGGATCTTGGGACTCGGCATTCATGCATTGAATGGGTCATTTCTTGACGCGCGTAGCGGCGTAGCTGGGGGTCCAGCCGCCAGCGGCCTGCACAGCCGGGAGGTATTTGTGAACTGGACTAACCAGAGCCACTTGTCTAACTCCTTTGACCCTTGACGAATGAAGCTCAGGGGCATTCTTGAGAAGTTCCCACATCAGTGCACGGTTCTTTCCATTTGCAAGCTTCTACCAAGCATTACAAACGATAGCCGCCGGTTGACGCCGGGTCACATGATATGAACAGATCCTGGAAAGAACTGCCGGGGGAGGTTTGGTTTCTCACCGCCAACAGAAATCGTTGGAATTCCAACAGCCATAGCTGTGTTTAATATTCTGAATCCTGAACGATCATTCTTCTGCTGATTTAGGGCTAATAACTCCCGAAGACGGGCAAGTCTGAAAGTCTAGATGCAGCCATCAGGTATTTCTTCACGCAACTGGGGAGCTTTTTATATAGATGAGGTAGGACCCTTTACGGACCTGGTTCATGCATCGATAATCATCGATATCACGCATGGTGTGAATGTTTGCCGTCAAGTTCAGGCGAGAAGAGGTTGTCACTTTAGAGAAGGACCGACCGACGTTCGCGCACGTCTCGCTGCGACGTGACAGTCGATGACGCTTACGGGACGTAAGCGTCTCGCAGATCGGAATGCTTAGAAGCGTGAAGACAGATGAATTATATAGCTTCAATAATTACTGCCATAGATGGGTCGTGTGTTGTTCTTAAAATTTTCCTTACCAAATGGGGTGTCCCAGGATGATCTATATGGCCCTATATGGCTGCACATGCCCACCGCCAAACGGCCGTGGCATGAACGGATCGCTCGCCCGTGGCGCCGAGCTCTTGGGGCTTCTACTGCACGATGCTGTAGTACATCTCCGGTGTCGGCAGAGTGAAGACCTCTACACCTGGAGCGGACTCGGACTAGGACACACCACTGCCAATGGGACTCACCCATCGGGCGATAGCCAAGGCTCCAAAGGCTCACGTAGGCTAACGCAAGTCCGCGCTCGCAGCCCGAAAGGTCACATCGGTCCCGCTCATCGCGTCACATCGAGACGCGTCACACGGACACACGCGCGGTGGGGTGGAGACTCTCGGTCGACTAGTGACCTTTTCGACCATTTTTGCCATTCGCTCACCGGATGATATTGTCCCATTTGTTTCTGAAACAGGGCCCGGCCGATGAAGCTTCCAGGAACTGGAGGAGCTGCAGATTTGTTTGAAGTTGGGAGCTCAGTGGCTCGGTTTTGGCCGAGGGAAGACGATGGGCGCCAGGGCCATGGGTTCACTTGAGATCCATCAAGAGATGGAAGAGCCAGGAAGGACGCTTTGGATTCACCATGATTCACCACTTCTTGGGTCACTGATCAGGTCAAAAACCATGCAGTCTTGGGTCACACATGGTCACACCAAACTAAGTTTCCTTTGTTGTGTCGGGGTGGGCCGTCTCTCACCGTCAGTTGGACTCTCCGGATCCGGTTGGACTCTCCGGATCCGGCTGAGCAGGACATGACTGAATGCCGCATATCGACGCGTCAGTCGGACGGCGGGAAAAGACGGTGGACGAATGAGGAGTATAATTGATCATAGTGCGACCCGGATTCACAGAAACCATTGATTCAGTAGATTCAGTAGGATTGGACAAGCAGCTTCTGCATCCTTTGAGCTTGCGGTTGAACTTTTTGGGTATGGAATCATCAAGTACACGAACCCTTAAGGACCAGTGACCAGATGTTTTGACTGCGGTCCCCTGAGGTTGTGCGATGAAGGCCTGGGACTCAACACCTGGCTGAAACAATGCCATGGCAGATCCGCATGTTTGGTTGGTCACTGCTGCTGTTAAACCGGAGAGTGTTGAATTGATGTTAGTCCAAAGGGGAAGAACATGAGGAAGAACCCATGAGGCTGATGGTGTCGCAAGAACCTCAGAGGCCTTACCAAACCGCAAATTTTTCAGCCGATGTGCCTTCCAACCTCGGTGGTCGTGGCCTGGTTGAAAGAAAGATGATTCACAATTCACCCCTAACCTGGGACCCATTTTGCAAATCGCGAAGAGGCCACTTCCATGCATTTGTGGCATGGCATAGTGGCATAGTTAGGGAAGGATAAACAAATCTTAAATCATATTGTATGCAATGATACTGTAACAACTTTCAATTCTGCCTCCATACCCACGGCCCCCCTCCCGAACAGAAGGCTGCTTTGGGTCTTCAGCGCGCATTCTGTTCTTTTTGAGTGAGAACAGAAAGCCGAAGTTGCGGAAGACCCTCTTTCAATTGATTATGCAGCTAAGGGTTCCCGTAATCTCCGGGTGGGCTCAAACGAAGATTGAGGGAGGTTACAAGCTTGCAGTGAGGTTCTGGGTCAGAGGCGGTTTAAGATAAACCATCAGTTCCTTCTCCTTGTGCCAGCGGACACCCATTGCAAGATGCTCCCACCCCTCATGCCCCCCCCAAAACTGGTCGAGCTTTCCACCATTGGAGTCTCTACTTCTTCAATCTTTTGTTCCGACCCATAGCTCTAGCTACTTACGACATCTTACGACCTTCAGCACCCCAAAGCCTTCGACTTAACTCCGCCCCAGAATAACGCACCAGTCGTGGCTTTGCCTTCTTCACCAGGCGATTCACCACCCAAGACGGACGCCGTGCCCCTTCTTTCCGCGCCGGCGGTGAACTCCGGCGCAGAGCCGGACGCTCGCCACTCGGCGGAAGGGAGCTGCAGGCGGCCAAGGTACTACTGGGAGCATGAAATTAAGGTTGTTGTCATCATGGTGTCATGTGTTTTTGTTTTGTTTATTGGTTGGTTGGGGATGTTGGGGTGGTGTTTGTATGTGTTTGTGGCCCCTTGATGCCACCCACTACTTGGGGCCCTGATCGCATCTTTCAGCCTGCCTTATCAAGAAAGATACGCCAGCGACAATTACACAGTTGCCCAGAGTGGACAGTCAGGTTGAGGTGGGGCACAACTTGGGAACGTATGTGGCAGAAGCTTTCTTTAGTCGTGCATATATATATATAATATAATGTATATATATAGTTCCCCGGAAAATTGAAAATTGGGTCACCGAACAAGGTGAAATGTTTTTTGGCAGACTCCATGACAACTGTCACATGTTCCTTTACATGCAGCTTGGACATGTAGACCTGGCGTGTTTTGGAGGTCCAGTCCAGGGTGCGCGTAATTACAAAACATTGTGATGATTTTTTGCTTCAGACCTTGCCGACCTTGCATTGGCCTGTGCCATTTCAGGCAGACCCTGGCAGCGGCTAGTCTTCCATGCACGGCGTCCGGTCCCTTCACCGTTTCCATCCAGTTGAGGTTGGCCTCAAAAACAAGGGTCGTGCCTTTCCACCTGTAGCGGGACTCGGAGGCTGCGGCCATCACCGCCCTGACCCTCTTTCAACCTTCCCAAAGTGGAGGGAGCTTCGAAGGCATTCGCCATGAGATTGGAACATCTGGCATCTGAAACCACCAGAATATTTGGGACCCGAGTCCATCGCAAGAGCCCTGCAGTTCCCGCCACAGGTCCTGAAAAGGACGAAGTGTCTGAAGCGCCTGTGGCGAAGCCCAAGGTGCGCAGCTTGTGTTGGACCCGGGTTCAGGGAGGTCGGACCCGGCGTGGCCGTGCTGCGGTGGTGTCTCGTTACGGTGCAGTAGAGGATTATTTTACATACTTTTTCACGTGGAATCACTGCGAAACGCCCACCCAAGATCAATATTTTTGAATGAGGTGTTGGGGGTGGGCATGAATACCTGCTCCAACGCATTTGACAATATTCGCATGGTCCCTGCCAGGTGACTACAGTGCTACAGTTTTGTGATGTCCTGGCGCAACATCCTGCCAAGTTCAACGTAGGCCAAGAAGATCCTAAAAACTGTTGGATGCACATGTGGGGAATATTGGCCCCAACCATCCACAGTTTTCGCCACTAAAAGTTTTGCAGCGTGGGTGCCAGGCTGCCATCCCCTCCACAAGATGCAATGCTGAACAGTGCCATCCCACTCTCACATGCCTTTCAACCAGTGCACCGGTCGTTTTTCCGGAAGCCCCTTCCCCTGCACAGGCGCCGGCCCGCCGGGGCTCGCTGCCCAAGCCGCCCCCGCCAAAGGCCAAGGCTCTCGGGGCTCGCGGCGATTTCGAGCTCAATAGCAGCACCAATTGGACCAATGTCTGGTGGACCGGGTCAGCTTGATCTTCTCATCACCATTTGAACTGGAAAACGTGGAGAGACCATTTTGGGAGAAGTTTGACCGGGTCAGCTTGATGCTTCTGGAAAAGCATTTGGGGAGAAGCTTTTGGAAAAGCATTTTGTCTCGCCAGAAGCGAACAAATACAGACTCATTTTCATTTGCATCCTACTTTCTGTGCGGGGTGTGTTGACAGCTGTGCTGGAGCTCGTGTAGAGGGAGAGGGGTGGACATGGTCTTGTTGATCCGTTGATCCTTTCTCATTTCAAATCACGGGGATCCAAGTGCATGGAGGATAGACTATTCTCCGGTGTTTCGGGGGTATATAATTATGTTGGAGGATTCTCCAGGGCCACTTGCTGGTAGCACCATCCATGAAGTTCAGCTTCCCTTCCCCGGCCGCCTGCTTCATGGGATGGGGTTTGGTGGGTTTGAGGCGACCATGAGGGACCAATAGATTCAATGGATCCAATTTCCTTCAAGGGGACCCCTTTGATCTATGAAAGCAAGGATGCCGTGTCCTTGCACCGCCGGAGCAGCAGGCAAAGATGCGAGCGAAGGTCCGTGCTGCCGCTTGGGCGAATCGGCACCCACCGGAGGGAGCCATGCAGCTACAGCTGTGGCATACCGTTTCCTTTGGTTCAAGCGGTGCGAGTTGGTGCGTGGGGTTTGCATTCAACATAAGGGGTGCCAAGCACTTGATGCTTAAAGGTCAACATCCAGAATGATTCATTCTGAACTCTGGTTCACGTTGATTTGTTTCGAAGGATCGAACGAACGCCGGACTCTGCAAGCATCCGACCACCGAGACGGGTTGGCCGCTTGCAGCGCAGGAGTTGGTTTTGTCAAGTGATGCGACCGCGTCCAAACCGCTGCAGGTGAGCGAAGAGGATGTCCGAGATGCTGACGTCCAGGAGGCAGCAGAGAAAGTCTTCCAAAGAGTCCTTGTTGAATCAAGTGGATGGACTGCAGTTTTGCTCATGAATTCCCATCACCACTTTGGTGACTTGTTGGGGTCCAGATCTTTGATCCAGTGAAGGCTCGGGGGTAGGATTCCAGTGGTCTAGTGACACAAGAGCTCCTCTGGCATGCTGAGCCTTGTGCTTTGCATGTCGCCACGTATCGCCCATTTGTCCGTTCGACTTAGAATCATTAGAGGTTGGTCGCTTCGACCCGATCCCCGCACCGACCCGAAGGTCGCTTGGACCCGCCTCCCGATGGCCAGGATTCACAGTCTCGACTGGTGAATCTGCATTGGCGTGCATCTCATGCGCCTCCAGAGGCTGGAAGCAGCGCATGCATGGTCCAAACGCACTCGCCGACGGTCGTTGGTTTGGGGCGACGAAGAGGGTGTTCCTCGGTGAACTTCTGGTTTCGCCCGAAGAGTGAGAACACGGTGAACGCGAGGATTTTGCCCTGGGTATCACATGGTATCACTCATTTCACCACGATGTGTTTAGACCTTCCGAGGCTCACTCATGTTTACTGCTCGGTATTATTGCTGGGTATATCGCATGATATCACTAACAATCACACACACATATATATTTATATATATATATTATATTATATTATATTGTATATATATATATTTGTCATAATTATCCCTGCGTGTCCTTCAAGTCCCTCATCTCCATGTTTCAAGATGAGAAGTTGAATGGAAGATATTGGCCATTCCGGGGCAAGCCCTGCTTAACGCACCAGAAGATTCCTGGGTGATCCACGCTGTTTGCATGCGGGGTGAGCATGAAAACGGGCCGCGCTCAAAGAACTGGTGGGCCACGGCAGTTCTTTGACTAACAGGCCGGTTTCAGCTGTCATCCGCAGGAAACAGAGATCTTTGTGGAGAAGGATGGGCACCTTTTCTGCAGCAGACTTTGTTCTCATCCCGGAATAACCTGAGAAATGCCCGTGAATGCATGGGCCAAACTCTGTTCTCATGGAGGTATATTGTCCATCTCGGGAAGACACGGGAGTTTATGGCTTGCTGTCGTCATGGCTTAGGTATTTGCAGAGCATGTCCAGCATGATGGAAAGGCCCGAGATTCAGCGATGATGACGTTGGCCGTGCTTGTGATGCATGTGCAAACCACCACGCCCATATCCAAATGCACCATTTTGCCCTTCCTCACCCCAATAGCTGCGGACTCTTCCAAGAGTTGAATGCTCTGACGTCCTACACGCCAGGTGGGACCTCGTTCGGGCCGACAGGATGAGGCCCAGCCGATGCTGAAATGTGCTGAAGCTCATGTGACATTTGGGAGACACCGCCCCAACATAACTTATATGATGAACCGGTCAAAAACATGTTTACACCCAGACAAAGCAATTCGTAGCGCGATGGGTTGGATAGCAGGTGGTCTCCCCACATGTTGGTTTACACGTTGGCAAGTCCAATGACTTGGATGTACTTGGACACCAGTGCTTGGAGTCTAGCTGCTGACATGCTCCCACCGATGGGAAGAGGACCATCTTCAGTATTTGTTTTCCGCAACGTTTGATGCTTGCAGGGGGTCTCAATATTTGTTCCCCCCACGCCAGACTGAAGACCAACACCATGGACAGTTGTTGCGTTGCAAAAACGCACGAGGCAAAGCATCCAAAGCTTTGAAGATCGGGCAGGCGCCGCAGAGGCGAGGGATGTATTCTTCCGAATTCGCGGAAGAGTCCGGAACCGAATTGCTGGGTCAGGGGACAAGTTGAGCCTGGAAAAGCTGCAGAGGTCTTGTTATATCTTGTTGGGGGTTCTTCCTGCGAAGCACCAACGTGCAAGTGGAGACTGCAGAGATCTGGCATATCTTCAACCTCTTGAACGCACCACTCTACATTCTAAGTACATACATATACAAATATGTCAAGGCCGATGGGAGATGATGGGAGTATGTGCCGGACTAGTTCTCATGGATCATTTTGGGACGCTGAAGCGATTCTTGATGTATACTCCTATGGGGGTGCGAAATCCACCACCTCAACTACGAGTCACCATAGCTGTAGCTAGTCACCATAGCGGTAGCTAACCTCTACGGCTTGCCGATCGATCGTGCAACCCGGCTGTGAACGGCTGTTGATCGCCTCCAGTGCTTGGTAGAACTGAGATTGGACCAGTCTGGAAATGCCGGCATCAATGTGACGCAGTACATACTTCTCTTAATGTGGTTTTGCTTATAAGATCAATTTTTGTAAATTTCCATGTGGTTAATTCATGTTAAATCCCCTTCAGGCTTCAGGTGAATACATTTTTGTTACTGGTTCCAGGTTTCTTAAGCAAATCCAAGTGAGTGAGTATACATCATTAACCGTCTCTATAATTAGTTATTTGATCCTTTCTAATTAGAGTTTTGCAGGGATCCATCAATACTGTACACTCTACTTATACATCTCTTATGCCATCAAACCTGTACCCAGACCATCCAAGCGTGCAAGGGCGTGCGTTGAACCCACTAGCCCCCCAAGTAGTCCGATTTCGTTTGCCTAGTTGAACACCTTGACAAATCACCAGGACCATATAGTACCATCCAAGTTTGAACATACCAGCACCCTAACAGGTCTCCTCTAAAGGCTTTTGTAGACTTAAAAGGCGCAGGCGGTGACCTGTGAAGTCGGGTCCTGGTACGTGGTTGAAACATTTGGTTCTCTTCCGCACTTCTGCACTGTCGAACCTTCCAGGCTGAGCGCTACGACTCCACGGCCCCGGGCCGCCGCCGTCGGAAGACGGTGACCCGGCAGCTGTGAGACTGGACCGAAGCCCTTTGAAAGCGAATTGGTTTAATTATAATAGCTTCTTGTTACTACTAGGAAGGCACTTGTTACTACTAGCGTGGCACTTGTTTCTACTAGCGAATGGTTTCTGCATGTTTTCACCCTCGTTCACCATGTGTTCAATGTTCATCGAAGGGGTCCCCAGAGTTTGAACTTGGTTTAGCTGTCTTGGGCGACTGGGAGACTCAAGTGCTTGAAGAAGAACATGAAGAAGATGAAAGTCGAGTATCCCCCTATAGGCCGTCTGGCTCAAGAACTGGCCACCTTTGGGTCGAGAACCCAAAGCCGATCGAAGCCCATGGAGCTCGCGTTCGTGGCCCCGGTCTCATGGAGCACCAGCCCTGTGGCGCCTCCCACGGGCATTGCTGCGCCCAGTGTCCAGCAGCCGGGTGCCCGCGGGGCAGCCACCGTGGCTGTGGGCGCAGCACTGGCAGCCGTGGTGGCAGCCAAGCGCACGGGGCGCTCGGCAAGGCGAGCACAGGAGATGGCCACATTGCCAAAGCAGACCGGGCCAAGCGGAAAGTACGTTTTGTTTTTTTTTTGGGGGGGGGGATGGACAGAACTTCAAGACTTGGATTCACCAGTGATCTCTTTTTGCAATGTGTGGATGATTGATGATGATTGTGTTTCCTTTCTTCCCAGTCTTCGAAGGGTGCCCATTTGAGAGTCAGCTTTTGTAGGGGCTTGCTTGGACCGGTCGGTTGTTGGATGTTGTTGGGATGGGTTGGATGGGTGACTGGCCCAGGCACATGCAGCCCGTGGATCCGGCCAGCTATCCCAACTACAAGCCAGGACCATCTGGTGTGCCCATGATGCCTCAAGTGGTGGGCGACTGGGCAACCCCTGTACCAGGAAGTTACAAGGCCTGCTTGACCATGGTGGGTCCTGATGTGGAGACTGGCAGTGAAGTGGGCAAGCCTTGGGACCCCCTTGGCTTCAGCAAGCTCTATGACCGCAATTTTGACTTCAACGACAACATGACATACCCACATGTGCAGTGGCTTCGGGAATCCGAGCTCAAGCATGGCAGATGCGCAATGCTAGCAATTGTCGGAATCTTTGCACAACAGTCATTCCACATTGATGGATACCCAGAGGCACCATGGTACGAGGCCTTGCAGAAGTGCTATGACAATCCCCAGGGCATTGTGGGCTTTGGCATTGCCCAAATCTCCGCCTTTGCCATGGTGATTGAGGGCAAGTTCTTCCCCAACGATGCCTGGATTGGCCAGATGGACCGTGAACCTGGTGATCTTGGTTTTGATCCTTTGAAGCTTGCTAAGGATGAGGCAACCATGAAGAGCATGCAGCTCAAGGAGTTGAAGAACGGCCGACTGGCCATGATGGCCTTCTTGTCCATGTTCCTTGGCCACTTCAATGCTGGCAGCGTGCCTGGAGTCTCCGCCTTGCCCCGGGAGTCGGGCAAGGCACAGGGCGCCGCCTTCTGTGGTGCTACCCCTGCCAGCTCTGAGGTGGGGATGTCCAAGACGGCCGCTCGATATACGACTCAAACCATTCTCCCTTCCTTGGCCTGGATCAAGACCGGAGTGAGGGCCTCTGAACTGCAGCCCACTGAGTTGAAGGCATTGACCTTGGCGGGGAATGATGTGTTGATTGGCAAGACTGAGGCTGGTGCTCTCTTCTGTGTTGGCAACTTGTGCCCTCACATTGGCACCCCGATGAGTGAGGGTGCGGATGTCATTGGTGATGTGATTGTGTGCCCCTTGCATGGCTCTTCCTTCAAGGTGACCACTGGGGAGCTTATCGACTGGTGTGTTTCCCCACCCATCATCGGACCCTTGACCGGCTTAATCGTTGACAAGAAGAACCTCTTGATCTTCGAGTGCCGCCAGGGTGGCTTCTTGGGATCAGGGGAAGTGGAGGTCTTAGTGGACACCAACGCGAAGAAGGCCTATGAGGCAAACTACTGGAAGGGCTTGCTAGATGCCCAGGGCAAGGATGATGGCACTTACTACTGAGCACCGGCAACCGGGTAGTTCAGTCTCAAGTTCGCCAGCGGTGTGATGTGCTTTTTGTCTCTCACATTCTGAACAGCGCTGTGCCAAAATAACTGTGCTCCGTTCCGGGTCCTGCACTTCATGAAGTGTGCACAGCACACAGGAGCAAAACATAGTAATAAGATACAATAAGATTAAACAGATGTACAATGACGAATCCGCTCTTAAACGCTCACTACCTTTTATCTAGGGCATTCCACCCCCGATCAAAAAGAAAGGGAAACAGAACACCACGATCCACGTCTCCGCGTTTTGCATGGCGGCTCCGGATGGGCGGATCCAGGTCTTCAACGCCGAGTCCACGAGCGGCGCGGCGCCCATTCCGGAGCTTCCCAGCCACCAGCTGGAGGAGTTCTTCCAAGCAAGGGCTGCCACGTCGCTTGGGGTCGAAATTGGAAAAAGGAGTGGGAGTGAAGGAGTGGGCCTACGGGAGACGAGATGAGACAAGAATGGTGCTGATATATGTGCTGCCAAGTGTGCTGCCGAAGTCGGATACTTGAGTATCAGTATCATTGATTATCATGGGGTCTTGGAACTATATATATATATAACTTGATGAAGATGCATGCGTTTGTTGTGGTCGCCGGCCTTTTTGTTACCATATGTTTTTTCTAACATTTTGTTCAATGTCTTCCATTTCCTCCTCCACTTTGTCTCCATTTTTCTCTCAGCGTTAGGATAAGGATGCCCAAACCATATGGTGCGAGGTTTGAGGTTGGATCACTTCGCAAGGTTTCGGAAAACATCGGAAAACCATGGCTGGAGTGCGTGTGCTGGTTGGAGCGCGTGTGGAAAACGTCACTTCAATTCGATTTCCGAAGACATCACGACTTATATAACTTCATGACCGATTTAACAAGAACAAGCCACGACCCACATCCCAGATGGCTGTTTTGTCACAGATATGACATGATATGATATACTGAATGTTCCGTCGACCTGACATAGCTCTGGGTCTCCTGACCAGCAGACATGCAGGCCACACAGTACAGTAGGTGCAGAATAGACGGAACACACCCACACGATTTGGTATGAGTCACAGTGAATAAGATCGCAGCCCTAGTCTGTGTGCAATTGTCCAACCCCCTCTGAGACTCCAAAGAAGCCATCACCAGAACAGTTGAACATGGGGTATGGCGGCGTCTGAACAGTTGTGGCTGTGACTACCTCCAGGTTCGACATTGGAGCACGTGCCTCCTGCGCCAGCAATGTCAGCTCCTTGATCGTGACCTCGGCCGCGCTTGAGTATCTGACCTGGACCCGTCGGAGACGCTTGAGACCCCTAGAGGCCAGGGTATCCGACCCAACTACACAAAGAAAAGACCTGGCCCATAGCAATTTGCCACGATTCGATGCTTCTTTTTGCTCGACATGATGTCCAACAAAAAAAGGTTCCAAGTGAAATGGTGGCTGTGGATGGATGATTTGGAATATCTTAGAATCATTTGCACCACATGGAACCTGATGGCATGGACCTGCGAGGAAGACTACTTTCCTTTAACACCGAGTGGTTTTGCAGGTTCTATGTGAATCTTCCGGGGTGTATATAGAACAAACTACCAGGCCCTTGATCATTCGCATCTAGGCCATTCGCATCTCCCAGGCCCTTTGAACAATTCACCAGTAGGTCCAGCAGGTAGAACCAGGTGGGACCTGGAGAGGGATTCAGAGGTGCCCTCTCAAGTACCATGATCCAAAAGCTTCAGAGGGATCCGGGGGAACAACTCAAAATGCGCGTGTTCCGATTCCAGAAGCAAGGCCGTCCCAAGCGATCCACCCTCATGCCAAGGCCCCCAGACCCGGTCGGCCACCGGACCGGGCAACAACATGGGCTCACTGTTTGCCTGACCTGCTTGGTTCAGTGATGGGAAGGGGAGGACCCCCACCAAGTCCGGTCTAGGTCGGTCAGACCAGCGCGTGACTGGGCACCTGACTGGGCCCACTAGGTGGACAGCACCCACCAGCGGATCTTGGATCTCATGGTGCGCAGCGAAGCCATGCAACGTCAGCGCGAGAGTGGGCAGATCCGGACGGCACCTTGGTGGGAGTCCGGTGGAGGTCTTTTTTCTTCGCGTGAGGCACCATACGGTGGGTGGAAGTTGGGACTTTGGTGGATCCACAGGGTGAGAAGTGGGTGGAGAAGTTCGCGTGTTCCATACTGGGTGGTACTTTCATGTAATCCCGAGTAATTACCTATTGAAAGACGGACCCCAATTTGAAAGAGTCATGTCGGAACCCCCTAAATACGGTTTATATATGTGTTTTTTAGATTACCGCCCTTCAAAACCGGTACTAAACTACCGACATGGCCGATTTTGGTGTAGTTGTTTTAAATAGGTTCCAAAAACAACCGTAACTGCCCACCTCTGTCCACCCTGTCTATCCACCATGACACGCCGCGTTTACACCAGCAGGTTGTCCTTCCCCCAATGGCACGGACTCACGCAAACGCACGTGCCACCGACGTCACGCAAAACCGCATGGCACAGCGACATCACCTTTCGAAAGCTTTAGTTGTTCGTCTAATGAAGAATCACTATTCTAATGAAGTTTATGTAGGGGAAAAGGAAGACCCTTCGATCTGGAGGTTTTACGAATTTTTGATACGAGTTTATATAGTAGAGGATTTTAATTGATTTATATAAAATTTTCCTCGGTTACTTGTTTGTTTTGAAGCTCTTCCCAGGTGACCCTATTTTGGACCACCCTGATTTCAGGGACCCCCTATTAAAAAGATGCGACTCAGGTTTTCGTCATAGGTAGGTAGGGGGGGCCGCGTGTTTTTTAATAGGTGGATGGGCTGAATTTCAGATTACTTATTATATATAGCATTAATCAATGTTAAACACATTAGTTGTATTTTCCACCAGTACTTGGCATGATTTTCACCCACTGTTTGCGATGGCTTCGTTTTCAACATGTTGAAGCCACCCATGCCTTGCATGTGACCCATGCCTCGTTCGCCCCTTGTCCCAGGATGCGGTGGAGCACGCGGTGACGGAGCTGCTGTCGATGCTGCATCGCTGCGACTTCTCCCGGCTCACCCATTCCATCATCAACGCTGCTTGGAAGTCCGGGGAAAGTTCGATGGAAACGGAAGAGAAAAGGGTCGATCGCGGACGATGATAGCAGGGAACCAGAAGATCAAGGTGGTTTGTTCGACTCTTGGAAATGGGGGGGCCTCCCTAGTTATTCTGGGTGAAGGAGTCTTTGGGTGTGCCTTCTGCGTTTGAACGTCGGGTATTGGCACGGTGAGGTTCTTGGGACTCCGGCATCTCCGCGTTTGCGTGGCAATAGACGCAGCCGCAGCTCTGAGCATCGCATGGGTTTCCCGAGCCTTCTTTTGCTCATCATGTGATGTTATCAATGTGGTCTGCACCGCAAAAGGTCACCACACCTGGCCTTTCCACCAATTCTCTATTCTGAGAAAGCCCAATGCAGCCCTCACGAAAAAACCATTCACCCCACAAGTCCATACAAGTCCCACAAGCATTGTGCCAAATGAGGAGATAGTGTAGATTCGTAGATCGAGGAAGGTCCTCTCCTTCCACTCCACAGTGCTCTTGGAAAATTGTCCAAAGAGGGTCATGTGGAGTCATGAGGGGAGTCCATCCCTCTTGTCTCAAAGAAAAAGGTTCGACTCAACACGCCCGGCTCATCACGGATGGTCAGGGATGGTTGTAAGCTGCAAGCTGCTGCGGTCTTCAGCGCTTGGGGCGCGCCGCCCAGCCGAGGATATGCGGAAAGTCGTGGTCTCCCACCTCGAAAGCGGTGCGACGAACGTCCTTTCCTTCGTGGAGACGCGTGGCGTGGACGCCCTGACCAGGAGCGCTTCACGTCCACACGGAGCATGTGTTTTTTCCTTTTTTTTTTCTTTGTATGTGCCCGCTGAAGTTTGGCATGGTTTCTGGATGCTTCATTGGGCTTGCCAGATTGCCTTCTTACAGTGGTGGTAACTATGTGTTGGACATCATATGCAAGAAGAGAGCTTGGACATGTTGATTCACATGTCCTCAAGCGCCCTGGCCATGAATTTGCCCACGACCCGCCAGGATGGAACATCCTCATTTGCACCGATTGCTTTATGGTTTGTGTAGCATCCCTGCCATCCCTACGAGGCGACCGCCGAGTTGTTGGTGATTTGGAAACGTTTTGGACCCTCCATTTATCTTAATCTACCCCGCTGCAGACCAACATGGACCCTTAAAACCACTAGTCTGTAGAGGGAAAGCAGTTTTTCGGGGTGCTATTCTCAGGGTCCACATACGTTGGTTCGGAGGTGCATCCATCTAGTCTATTCCAATCTATTATTCTTTGGATCCTGAACTGGATGAGAATTATAGAGATGTGCAACAACACTTGACCCTGGTTCCTGATTTTTTGTTTACATATTTTTTGGTTATACTTGTCCTCCTTGACTTCCGGATGACTAGCGGAGGCCACCCTTCCCGTTGCAATAAATCTGTGCACCCGAGCCGGTAGGATTATTTGGACACCTGTGACAACTACTGGTGGATGCCGGTGGTATAACCGGGTTACTTTTGAGTGAGGACTAGACCTGTCGGTCCGTCCGGCTCACACCGCGGTGCCATCGAAATTGATCGAACACAGGCCAAAAACATCCAAAAACACCCGGCCAAATCCTGAGCAACGCTTTTCCCGCAAAGATGCTGGACGGTCCCAAAGCCACTAAACGACATTTAGATGTTTGGCAGTTTTTAGGCTATATGACGGCTGATCGACATCCCTGTGCTCATCAGACCCCCTGTCAGGAACACGCTGGCCTCGTTCCGCTCACTGACCCACTAGACTGGGGTCGGATGTCAAAAAGCATAACCCATATGGTTTGTTGGCCGTGCTTTCTTGTGGTCTCATAGTTGGAACACATTGGGCCTCATGGCAACAATGCAGATCCGCCTTTCAAGCCCTCTCGGAGGATTGGAACCTGTCGCGACGATCGCGACAGGTTCCAACACCACCTGAGTGCTTGGATCGAGCGTTCGCTGTTGCGTGAACCCGGTGGCTCGTATTCAAAGTCTACCAAGCTCGGTTTTTGGAACCACCGGGGCAGAACTGAAGTTGAGTCCATTTCAGAGAAGCGAAGCCGAAACCAGATTTCTGGAAATCTGCGGAGGAGCCCGAGGTCAGTTGGTAGCCCTTCCCTGAAGCCTTGGTCACTCGTGGTGGCCGTCGTCGCGTGCCGTCTCTTTGTGCCGAGCGCAGGCTCGAATGTATGGACTTCGTCGCGAAGTTCCCTACTGAGCTTGAAAGCTGCAAGGAGGCTTTGCAGATCCTGCGGGCAGGCCTTCAACAGATCCGTGCCCCAGAGCTATCCAAGAGAATCTGAGAGAGGGAAACATGGGAAACTGTGAAGACCTATGGAAACACAAACAGAATCAGCTAGGAAGAATCAGCTGGGATGGCCAGGGATGGGCAGGCCGCTGTTACACCCAAAATGTTGGTTAATGGCATGCGTGTTTTCACAAGATCTTTTAACTTGGAAGGGGCTTCCTTCAAACTGGCCCACTACCATAGAGGGTGTGCAAGCATTGCGCGGATCCAATGCTTTTGAAATGAAGAGGTCATGTTATTTTACGGCCCTCTCGCTGAAGCAGAGGAATCTGCCATCCAAGGATTTGTGGATCCAACTATCTCCGATCTACCGAGACTGATTCTCTAGAATTCACATTCATGTTCACGAAAAAAAGGAACATATCTCGCTCAGTGTCTTGCTCCCTGGTTTCTGCTTCGCGTCCAAAGGGGCGCCTTTGGGCCCCCGAAGTGGGAGTTCCAAGACTAGCTGAGGTGATCGACAAGAAGCATTTCGCTCCTTTTGGACTATGGCCATGCAATTGGGGAACACGTGGCTCAGCATGAAACCGGGGTCTTTGTTGGGAGGGCAGAGCACCAGAGAAATCTCAAGTTGAGTCATTTGAAGGAAGAAGTCTTGGATCACCGGGGTTTTGAGGCTTCCACCTGGTACAGAACTATTGAATAACTATTGTTTGTCATCATTGTTATTTCCATGTGGATGGGAAACCAGTGAGGCTGAATGGATCTCATGCCGATCAAGGATTCAGGCTAAGCAGCTCCTGGGCTGGGCAAGCGGGGCTCGTTCGGGGGCTCGCTGGGTCGGCTCGGGCGCATGGTCTGATGGCCTCGGACGCCTGCAACTTGGAAGAGGCCGACTGGTGGAGCCCCCAGGTTCTCGGTCGCTTTTCAGTCTATGTGCTCGGTCGCGCCATGTCACCAGTCCAGCCACTCGAAAGGTTGGCTGCCACAATATCCATGGTGGTTTAAATGGTTGCTCTGACAACGCATGTATCTATAGTGTTCCCCCAAATAGAAAGAAACGGTTTCCAATACATTTTTAGTATAGGGATTGACTTTTCATGACTTTTCTATATTTTTTGGCGGTTTGTATGTAATTACAAAGGTTGTCGTTGAACATTCTGCCCTTTGGGGTGGAGTTGGGAACGCCGGAACCGGTCTTGGCCGGTCGAAAACGCGCGTGGAGACAATTCGCGGATGTCACCGGTAGACTTGGGCCACGTGCTTCCCCGGCTGACAAGTATGGCAGGATAGTAGACCCAACCAGCCGTCTTCGCCGACCTGGAGTCGTCCACCTCATACCGCCCTTAAGGGGCCAGGCATAGCCGTAGCATGTGTTCGCCGATTTTTGGGTGTTGGACCTGCCGCTTTGCAGCGGAGGTCGTTTTCAGAAAGGGGACACCCCAACTAGACCATCACATCATAGAATGGAGATATTTGGATGGGAATCAGATTGACTGAACCACCTTACTTTATGTGATTTTTCCGATTTTTCCTGCCACACTGAAGCAACAGATTCCCAGCCCAGCGTTGGACGTTGGACCAGCACCTCTTCGCGCACTGGTCCAACCACCTGCCCGGTCCATGACTCTCGGGCAGAGGTGACAGAGGCGCCGTGGAGCCCGGCCGTGGGGCGGGTGCGTCAGCACTGAGGTTTGTCCAAGCTTTTGGAGTTGAAGTCTCCCTTCCGCAAGGACGTCCGGCGAGAGTTTCAGTGGATGCCTTGGGAGGCATATGAGACACAAAGCGAAGGGACCGTTTGTAGTGGAATATCCTCGGAGAAAGCATTTAACAGGACGTGGACATGGCATGGACAATTAGGTCAACCTCATTTGGCCAAAAACACCCGCAGAAGAGTCAGCTTTTGTTGAAGCTGTCATGCTCCTTGCGAGCAACGAATTTGCAAACACTGAGACTTAGAGCCTCACAGCCAGGAAAGGCATTGTGGATATAATATGATTAAATTAAATTATATAACTATAGAGAGGCTTGAACATGAATCGCAATCCGCATCCCTCCAAGGAATATATGGAAGTTGATCTAACACAGTGCATGTTTCCTTAAATAAAGAACGACCATCGAACGATGCTGTCCCAACAGTCCACGAAAGATCTGCAATGAGGTTCGCATTCTTGTTGTTCGCGATGAGGTTGGCATGATCGTCTTAGGCAATCCTTTGGCAGGGCCGGTGGGTGCACCCACTGCCACCAACCAACGAACTGAAGCTTCAACCTTTCCTTGCCCCTCACAGTGCGCAAAGGATTCTATCGGATTCCTTTTCCCACTGTCACAGACGAACGAACTGACAACTTGCCCTGCGCAGAGCTCACAGTGCGGCCTACAGGATTGTCCTTCTCAACTCACAAAACTACAACTGCATCACCCGTGCCCAACCCTGACAGCGAGGCAATCCGCGGCCCTGACAGATTGTGCAGATGTTATTGATGTGCATTCGGGGAAGTCATTGGATAATTTTCGCGAAAGATCTGTGAATGTGCTGTTGAGGTCCCAGTTCCAAACTTGACCCCCCCCCCATATTCCCCGAGCTGCAATACCCTGAGTTGGTAGCTGGCGTCATGCTGCAAAATGCTAATCACTTTTTTGTTGATACTACACACATAGTGCCAACTGCCAACACATGTTAACTATATGTTAACTATAGACATGGTTTAGGACCATGGTTCGCGATGAGGCCGCGGATGATTTTTCCCGCGGAGCATGGGCCATTCCAGTTTTGATCAACCACCATTCATTTAGGTTGACTGCCAAGATTTCTTGCCTATGGGTAGGGCAAGGTTACCATCGGCCATCCCTCCGAGCCCAGGAGATGAGCTTCTTCCACTTCGTTCTGCTGCAGCTGAGATCCTCAACGCTTGATCTTCTCACAGAGCCTGAGTTACTGGATGCGTTGAGACAAGCCAGTGGCAAACGAACTCATACAGTGCACCAAGATGTGGTTGCACCTTGGCGAAGACGTGTGAACATGGTTTTCGAGCCTTTCCACGCGAAACGTGGCGTGTGCGGTGTTCGGCACATTTGGGCCCTATCCAGCAGAGAATCAGTTATACCATGTTATACCTCAGGGTGTTCACCGTTCACGCTATTCACCCTTCCTTGTCGTTCGTTGGTGGAACTCCATCAATTCGGGCTGCGGTGATTATGTCCTGGCAGAAGAACCCAACTTCAGCAGACTGGACAGGTTCGGGAAGCGTAGTCACGAAAGGTACCTGTAGCATCCTCCTAGCCAGTCAGTGGATAACCTTTTTAGGCATGTTTCCCCCCCTTAAGTCCAACATGTACAGGTGGAAGATTGATAAAAGCCTTCATACTCCAGGGAAGCGGCTCGGGAGTCCAACTTCACCGGCATCTTCATCCTCATCCATCCTTGCCTTACCCATCCTCATCCCTTCCTCATCCTGTAGCTCATCCAAGCTCAACCCACCAGCACTGACTGATGCCCTAGGGGCCTCGTCGATGGCGCTGCCTATACACCTTTCGTGAAAACCGCTAAACATGTGCCACCCAGTTTTCCAACCACAAACAACCATATATCATATATAGTATAGCTTGTACACACAGGACAGTCACCACCACAAAGTTTGCACGCGCAACGTGAATCTGTTTAGTTTTGCTTGGGCCCAGGTACATTTGGATGGCTTCCGCCACCTGGAGCGGCTGGTCAGCAACGGCACATTCAAAGGTGAAAGCAGCTTGACGCAGTTGGACCAGGGCGTAACTGACCTTGCCACATCTCGCCACCGAACTTGGCAAACAAAGCCAAAAGCAGGAGGGGACCTCCAATTCTGAACGCTCCTCTACAACTATTCTAATGTATCAGTCATTATTGGGGTTACCTTGGGGGCTAGTAACTGGTGTGAGCTTTGGTGAAGTCTTGGGGAATCCTTCAGAAGTCGAGACAGCGCTGGGGTTCGTGCTACCTTCGCTGGCGGGGTTCCTTTCAGAGCACTTTGGTGAACGGCGAACACCTAAAGCTGTTAGGCTGGATGTGCATACGCCACCGCCCCACTGCTGCAGTTGGTCAAGTGCATTGGTCCATGCGCAGAATCGTACTCCGCACTTTGTGGCAGGGACATGAGCATATTCATATTCAAGTGGATTGCCTCAATGGTAGAGAAACATGCAGCTTCGAAACTGATCGGACCTCTTTTTTGCCAAGAATCATATCAGTGGGATTAGTACTGAACACGCTTCACTTTCTAACAGGGCTTTGCTCCCTTGTTACGGGCGCCTCATCGAGACGGCGAGAGAAGCCCACACAGACAGACAGAGAGAGACTAAATGACTCTTGATTGTACAATAAGCCCTCCCAGTTGACTTGAAAAAACCTCTTCAGGCTTGGGGGGGTTATGGTCCTCAAGAGTCTACCAATTGGTGCTTTTTCTTCTCCTTCCTCAAGTTAGGATCACCGAGGGTCCTCTCCCATGGGTCCCACGTGCCCAGGCATCCCACCAATGAGGGATGGCGAGGATCCCTTTCACCAGTCCATGGCGGAGTTTGTGCAAGCACCTCGTACGAGGGGTCGATGTTCGTCGAGTCTCTTACTTTGCTGCCGGAATCCGGAAAAAATGAAGGCGTGGATCCACCCAAATTCAGGTTGGTAGGGGGCCAAACCCGGTGGTACCAGGAAAGAAGACTAGAGCAATGAGACACCCAGCCTACAGCCAAGGCATGCCAAGGCGCTACCGCGTTTATATACATTGAAGACCCCAGGGTGTCTCACCACCCACTGCCATAGCATAGAGCTGTTTGATTCGTTGATTGGTCTGGCAATATGCTATATAGCCTGGCGGATTGCAGGGACAGAGATGTGCTTTGATCGATGTCCCTTTGCTTTGGCCATCCACAAATAAAACCATTTGGAAATGCAAGAACTCTGGGAAAGAACGCCCCGGAAAGTCACCAACACCTATTCGAGGCGTTTGAAATTAGGATCAAAACTCGGTTGAATGCAACTCCTGAATTCTTTGCCTTTTGCTCTCGTGCGTGTGATGCAAGACCTCAAGTGTAAAAGTACTCTTCAAGGAGAACACGGCAACACTTTTGATCAGTCTTTTTTGCCCTTCTAGGGGCCTAGATTTGTGTTTGTTCATGCTTGCTCTCCCTCGGCTTGAGCTGAGCACCAAAGAAAGCGTCAGTTTAGGACTCAGACCTGCACAGGCCAACTTTCGCAGTGTTGGGGTAGAACTGCTTCCAACACCCATCGAACAAACAAAACTGTTGTGGAAGAGGCTTTGTGAGGATGTGCTTGTGCCGATTCCACCTTCATGTCTAAATGGGGATATGTTCCCTTGCCAGCTGCATTCTGTTCATACACGCCAAGCGGGTTTGAGCAGTTGGGTGAAACCCAGCGAGACAGAGGCATTCTCAATGCTCTTCATGGCATTCATAATGGCCAGGCAGTGGTTGCAAATGTTACCAGTCCTTCATCTCGTGAAAGCTCCGATGAAGCTGCCTTGATATAGTGCTAATGTCATCTAATGTCATTGGTTTTGGGCACTGGTTAGGACATCATCGTTAGATGCGGGGAGCCTGATCCATGGGCCATATCATGCCATATCTATTCATGTCTCTTTGTGGTCAAACATCAAGGGTATATTTTTGGGTTGCCATCCTCCAGACAAGGGCCTCTCATAGGCGATGCGTGAAAGACAAGGGCTTTATCGCACCATATCGCACCTACACTCCTAGACATTCCCCCAAACGCGTGTCACTGTCACAAGGGTCTTCTCGTTGTCCTTGCCAACAACGACCGAAGGACACCACGGAACGGACCAATGCCCACCGTGAGGTCACGAGCCTCACCGTGTGTGTCACGCGCCTCGCCGCCTGAGGAATCGAAGGAGGCATGTGCGGACTTGTGGAGCACAAGCCTTCAAGTCTTTCAGGGCTATCGATGCTTGGGTGGTCGATGCCTGTCGGGCCGTTCTGTCAGGAAGAAGGTATTGTCACAAGCTTTTTCACACTGTCTACTCCGGACGGAGTGACGCCGGACAGGAAGATGATGTCACTGTCAAGCCCACATTTGAGTGTGTAGACGAGCTATGTAGGCACCTACAGCGACGACCCCAAAAACAACATCAAAGTGGGTTAAAAGATGTTAAAGGCATTCATCATAAATATACCACACATGAAGTCGGTGCAAATTTTTTTGGGAGGCACTTCATATTTGTGCTCGAAAGAATGCCCTGAAAGAACTGGACCATAGGGTGTAACTCAAACTCTCACCCTGAAATTGGATTCGGAAGATTTCAGATCTAGGCTCTCAGATCCTTTTGTGAGGTCCCACGTGCGGCCAGGCCTAGGGGGTCAGAGTGGGTCAGGTGGCCATCAATGATTTGCCTGTTTGCCCTTCTTGGGACAAACACTGGCACCCGGAACCTTGTCCAGTCCTGTCTCTAACTCAACGCCATCCAAGGAGATATGGGCCTCTTCTTCAATGACCTGGCCTACGTATACCCTCCGCCTGGGGGAATAGGGGAGGATGATAAGCGCAAGGATCTCTTTTCAGTTTTGTCAAGCTTCGTCTCAGATTGCACCCGAGCACGGCAGGACATCGTGGTTTCTCGGCGCATGTGAAGATCGTCCGCGATCATCGGCGATCGTGGCGTCCCAACTCCCAACCACCACAGAATCGCCTGAGATATCTCCTTCAGACATCTGTCAACCAGTCATGAATTTCATCTCCTCCTTCTTGCTATAGAGGTTCAGCTGCTCTCTTTTCGAACTCTTCAATCACATTCGTCTCCTCTGGGTGTGTGTGAAGAGACGGTGCCTGCTGTGGGCGAGGGAAATGAGATCAAGAGACATAGAGACGGACCGTGCGCGGGACCTGCGTTTTGGATCAGTAGAGATTGACTGTGGACAGGCCTTCGAGGCTGGTGTTCTTCCTATGGTTGTTGTTCGAATGTGTTAGCATGTGCCAGCTCTCGGGATCCATAGGGCCATAGATGTATTCACACCTATTGAAACAGGACTCTTTACATGTCCAGCCTGGGAACCACCTGCAACAAGTTGCAGTATTTGCACTTCACCTTTGAGCTCTTCTCTTTAAACAACAAAAACACACATGTCACACCTCCGAACCGTGCGTCATCGTCCGCTTTTTGAGGACTTCAGCCTTCGCGCTCAGATCTTGGACAGCGGTTTCAGCCTTCCCTCCGACGCGCCGCCGGACGCGGCGCAGGGCGCGGGCACGGTGGTCACGTCGCCGCGGAGCCATGGCCGAGGTGGTTGGTGGCGCAGGGCCGAGACATTGAAACTCCGCAACCAAGGTCCAAAACCATGCCAAAGGTGCACCATGGTGCACCATCCATCCACACTTTGGATGAACAATCTGGAATCAATGTGGGTTCTTTGCGTGTGGAGTTTTTGGTTTTTGCGGAACAGTCCTGCTCCAACGATGAACGCAGTGGAACCTGCCAGGTTGATTTTGTTTTTTGAGGCTTGACCTGGCAACTGGTCTTGTCCAGGGTATGCACCTCTATGAAAGGATATGAAAGGCAATGGCTGGAAACACATTCAGAGACACAAACGTTTTTTGGTCTTTGGTTTCTACATTGGCCCCCACATGATTCTATCCATGCTGGTAGTTGGTGGATCCGTCTCAGAACCAGAGATGCTTTCTGATCCTTGTCCGGGTTGCGTTTGGGTTATCAAATTATCCTTTCAATTCCGTCACCTTTGTTGGACTGTGTTATTCTTCCAGCAGAAGATATGATATGCCAGATGTATAACATATATATTATATATATATATATTTAGCAGATAAAATGCCAGAACACCAGCCTTTTAAAATGCCTGAAAGGATGTCAGAACGGACGGCGAGTAGAATGTATGGTGTGGTGCGAAAACACCTGTCGCAAGCATATGCTGGAAGATATGTCAGAACACATGTCAGACTTCACGTCAGGGTCCAAATGTCAGAACACGTCAGCCCCAGCCTTTCTGGTCGATGAGGTGAGTTTGTCAGTACATGTGCCCCGCCTTTTTCCAGTCGTCTCTGAGGGTGGGGATCGCCTGAAGTAAAATAATTGAGTATGTTACATGGACCAGCTCGGTATAAATCTCTCCGGAGATGCGTGCCCTCAAATGGGCGGCTGAGCCTCATTTAGGGCTCAGTCAATCAGCCAATGAAACGCATTTGCAGCATGTGGAAACGCATGCCGTAGCTAGATCATGTTGCTGTCCCTGTAGCCGGATATGTGTTGTATTCGTTTTACAGTCAGATCTTTGGATACCCCGAGCAATTGCATGTATGGTGCTTGTCAAAAGAGTGTCACAAATACCCCTACGTCGCCCGATTTTCTCTCCCTTAGGGACTGCTACGGTACTCGGTAACATTCATTTCCCTATTGCTTAGCGGCTAGCGGAATCATAGGATCAGAGGGGCTGGTGCCGTGAAACTACATGGATGACAAAAGAGGTTGACAGAGTGTCCACAAGTCTAGAACCAGCAGCTGTTAGGGAATTGTGGTGTTCGCTGCTTTCAGAATTCTCCTTAGCCCCCACCTTTTTGAACACCTGGCGGTGCCACTCAGTCAGCCTCCTGTGGCTTAGGAGCTCCTTCTCTACTCCGCCCAGGGCCTACAGCCCAGAGCAAAGGCCCTGTGTGGGCATTGGTGACGAGCTCGAACCCAATGCGGCTTGGCATCCAGCCAAACAGATAAGGATCCACCCACTACTGGTTCTCCCATAGTGATCATCAGCAGGCCTTGAGGTACCCACGACTGGACAAAGGAATCATTGCCCTTTTGGGCCCCGAGGCCGCGAAAAGGCCTGAAAACGGTACCCCATGCCACCAAACTACGTGGAGGCACCATCACAAGGGTTTGGGCAAAACCTGGCCACCTGACGCCAGTGCCTGGTCCAAAAGATCTGTGGACGTGACGAACTTGCTCCGTTCGTAGCCGCCTTGTTCCGTTCGTAGTACGGCCAGGAGCCCCCGTAGCGTCCGACCGCTCCGTTCGTACCGATGCCCTTTGCTCCGTTCGTAGCTTCTTGTTCCGATTTCAGGTTTCAATCTTCAACTGCGAGCCCTTGGGAAGTCCCTTGGACCCTGTGGCCGCCTCGCCCAGCAGAGAGGGCCCGCTGCTCCGAGCTCCCTGCTCCATGCCCTGCGTGGCAACGCCGACCGTGCCACCGCCCAACCGATTGGCCGCGAGCTTGAAGCCATGCAGCCACTTGGCACAGGAGGCTTCAATTGCCACAGTTGCAGTAATCTTGATCTTGAATTCAGACAAAGTAAAACTGCAGCATGACTTGCGTGCAAATGGAGAATTCGATGCACTAGCATTAGGGTGATGTGTTTCATGTGTTGTTGTTCAGTGCAGACTTTTTTCTTTGCAACCAAGGTCCGAACCATCCCAAAGGTGCACCATCCTGGCAACAAAACTTGCCCGGCACACCGCACCCTGGATGAACAACTGGAGGTATGGGGTTCTTCGTGTGTTTTTTTCCGGTTTTTGCATGTTTTTGCCAAACAGTTCTGCCCCAAAAATGAAACCTGTGGAACCTGAGAAGTTGACGTAGTATTCTTTTTTTGAGGCTTGACAAGGCCAATCATCGGGAGCTTGATGTTCCGCAATGGCCACGAGTAGGGTTTCAGGCACTCTAATGGAGATCTCGGCGAATGTCTCACCTAATTTAGCGTTGTGAAAACGAAAGCTCAGAAGAAACATTGCGACATAGTCAGCCAAAAAAAAAGACAGACTCATCACAAGAACAACCAGAGAAGAGGATTCAGAACCTCTTGGAATGATAATATGAATGAATGATTAAACTTTAAACATTTCAACAATTGGACAAACCTTTCACAAACAAACAATTACAACGGGCAGAAGGTAGCAGGCACAACTGTTTGAAGAACCGGGAGCGGAGTAGATTGCACCTGGGGGCTCAAAATTAGTACCATTTCAGGGGGCAGATGGCGCACCAATTCTTGAGGAGTGATTTGGCACCATGTGGATCAGGCCCTTTTCCTTCCTGTTCCTCCTTCTCTTTCCTTATTATTTTCCTTTTGTTTCCTTTCCTTCCCTCACCTTGCTTTCCTGTCCTTTCCCTCTCCTTTCCTTTTCTTTCCGTTCCTTCACTTCTCCTTTCCATCTCCTTGCCTTTCCCTTCCCTTTCCCTTTCCTTCTGCTTCCACTTCAAACTCCGTTAACCTATTTTCAGAACGGTGCATGATAACAGGCAAGTAGATGGCGCAACCCTTGTGTGAAAGGTGATAATGATGGTTGAGCCAATCAGACGGCGCAACAAGATTCCCTCTCCTTTCGTGACCTTTTCCTTTCCTTTTCCTGCCCCACATCACACAGATGGGTAGATGGCACAACGATTCTCGAGTGCCCCCGGCCCCGGGTCAGGAACAAATGTACAGCACAAAGAAAGGTATATACATTTGTGCGTCGGGAATGGATGGCGCGACCCACAGAAGTGCGACCATCTACTTTCAGACTAGACAGGAGTAAACGCAAATTGCACACTACGTGGGTGGGTGGTTGGGTTGATCGGGGCGCCTTGTAAGGGCACTCCAGCTGTGTGAGGCCTCAAGACACGGAGCAGTTTCTTTATTTTTTCCGGTGCCATTACTGATTTGTTTGAGATGTTTCAATCAACATGGTGGTATGATAAACATTCGACTGTTCGGGGGTGTTAAGGGCAAGGGGCCTGCTGCGTGTACTCGCAATTGGCGTTGGCGGCAATGGTGTGGGATGCTTTGGTTCAGGGTTTGTTCTTCTCCCGCCTGCGAAGGTTGCCATTGTTCAATGGTGCAGATTTGGTTCAGCGGAGGATGGGGCCTTAAACATTGCCGGGGAGATTTGTTGGATGGCCCTTCCAAATGGCCTAGGCTGCAGTTTCCTAACCTCTACATTCCATGGGACTTGCATATTGACCCACTTTGGGGGGTGTTCAAGGGGGATCCATGAAGTGGCAAAGGGGCCCAGTCCCAGGGGGGTGTTTGGGCAACTGTTCCCCAACACTTCTTCGTCCCACCGGTTTATTTGAAAGAATCGCGGTGACTGAAACGCCGAGATGCTCAGGACACTCTTGATGAGCCCGACCACTCCGCAGGGAGGAACAGTAGGAAGACACTGCAGAAGTCCAGAGCAAGAATACAACAGGACTGGCAGACTGGGAGGGTTCGAATTCGGTGCTTGCTTTGATTTTTAGACGGAAAAGGCGCTGCAAACACCAATTGACAAATGATGAACAACGTATATAACTGGCAATGAGCCTGCAGCCTTCCTGCTATGCTAAGACGAAAGATACATTGAGAAACCCCACAGCATGCGACAGTCCTTTCTGTGATGTTTTTTCTCCGAGGTGCAACTTTCAGTGGAAACACTTGAAGAGTAGCCCCCCATAAAAAGCCCCTGATTCTTTATGAACCGATGAACCGTTTGTTCTTTACAGTGGTATTTGGTCTTGCCGTTTGTTTTGCTCTGTGGCACCGTGGGCCATCCCGAGAGCGGCCAGGGTCACGCGGAAAAGCCTGGCCAGCTGCGTTTCGAAGGTCGCCGCCCAGGCGATCGGCAGCAGCGCCCTGGGTTGGAATGGGGTTGAGATCTGGGGGGCGGAATCTGCAGGAAAGACTGGAGAGGTCTTGGGAAGTGGTCTAAGTGGTCAATGTTTATCAATATTTTATGTGTAAAGAACATAGAAACACGGGATTTCATGTGTTTTTCTACGTTTGCTTTGAGCAAGGAGGGGTTTTGCAGTGGAATTTCCCTGTAGAGCAATCCTAGTAGCAATCCTATATTTGGTTTTGGCAAGGCTGAGGCCTTGTGTTTGCCCAGTCAGGCTGTAGGTTCCAGTCTCCCTCATTTGGAAGCCCTTTTGGGGGTGTTCTGTCATTCGTGTCATTGAGGGGGCCGAAGTCTGCTCAGGAAAACACCTCACAACTTTCGCAAAAAACACTCAATAATCGCCCAATGCAAATCCAGGGTTTGTCACACCTGAGTGGCTGCGCCGCTACAGTTTTAGGAACGAACCCAGGTGCTGCTTCATCCACTTGCTACCTCTATGAAATGGAGGGGCAAGCCACAAATATGACACGTTCTATCGTTTCCCGTTTTGGTGCGCAGGGATGCTCGGGACAAGTCGAATTGTGGAACCCAAAGCATGCCACGAACGGAAGCCCTATTCCAATCCTCCTGGAAAAAGTCGCACTGGAGGGCGCTGCGTTAGGGGATGTCATGCGCAGCATATTGTAATTGTAACCTGCATGAGGTCCAATCCCCAAACCACCCACTTAATGGGAAGGACACATACTCCATGAAATCCAGGGCCCGACATGCCCTACCATTTGGACTGTGTGCTGATTCTTTTTTTGTCAGGCGTTCATCCATGTTTGCGGAATCACTGACCACAGAATAAGGCCTTGCTGGGATTGGTTTGGACGACCATGAGGTATACATAGAAAAAGGAACCTAAGAGGTGCACGCAACTCCCAGCTGCGTGGAGTGCACCGGCTTGGTTGTTTCACAAAGCATCCCAAGGCAATGCCCATGTGCGCGAGCCACGCGAGTCTGGGACTGAAATGCCACTTGGCCAAGGTACGGTCAGTTGGGGAATGAGGAACCAAAACCGAATTCGAGACACGACCGTGGTGAAACGATGTGCGTTCGACGTTGAGGCACGACGTGACCGGACGTTGGGGCGGGTTTGGACGTTGAAGCCCGACGTTCCGTCTCGTTCCGCCATCCGAGGGAGTTCCTCAGTTCCAGCACCAATGACTTTAGCTCCGTGGCTGCAAGGGGCATTCGTTCAGACGGCGAGGCCCAGGTTCGCAAGAAGAAAACTGTGCAACGAGATGCGCGTCCCCTTTTGGAAGCACCGGTTCATACTGTACATACTTGTGCTGGTTTCTGTAGACTGTAGAGATCTGTAAAGGAAGGCTCTAAGACCTTCTTCCAGGGTGAAGTTTCATACTAATTCTGACACCTTTGAGAAGACGCATAATAGAGAAACGCACCATGGTGGACCCTTGCTGCTCCCCAAAGGGGACATCATCTCGCTTCTGTAAGATATACAGCTCCCGTTTCTACATTCATATTAGATTCACTAGATTAGATCCTTGGGAAGCTGCCAAACAAAGTTAATATATACATACATAATACATATAGACCAATGCATAGCAATTCGTGCCAATGCACCAACCTAATATAGGCTCCGTACGTGTTTTTGGCCGTCGCCCCCCCCAAAATGGCACCCGACTCGAGAGCTCCCCAGGCTACACGGGCCAAAACCTTTAGTGATTTTCAACTGTCAATGCGGCTTTTGTTCAGTTCCCTGCAGGGTTCCCCCTGCGGGGTTGCCACACTACCATGGATGTGCACAAGTTTGGTAGACAGGGATGTCCGCCCCCCCACACTTTCCCAGAGCTTTTGCTTCAGCATATGGCTGGTTGCAGCAGATCTTCCTGCTGAGTGCTTGGGCAATGCGGGGGTTTCATTTGTTTGGTCGCTGCCATGTGGCTCAAAAGGGATGAAGAGGATGGCTCCAACATGGAAGGCGTCCTTCAAAAGTTTCCCAAGCTTCTTTGCTACACAAATTGCGATGGGTGATGGATTTAAAGAGGGTCTGATGTTGACCTTTTCAAACATCGGTCGGACGAAGGCCGGACACAAAGCGGAGCCAAATGCCGACTCAGACACACCGAGTCACCCGAAACATTCATGGCTACATATGGCTACCGCGGACTGACAGCTGGATGACCATGTTCCGAAGACCGAGACAGCTGGTGAACTCCACTTCCACGTTAATTAGTGACTCGGAGTCACTCCCCGGTGGTGGCATTCATACATGGGGAGACCATGCCATGCCTCACGTTTTTGTTGCTCAAACCGTGGGCCTCACAAAAAAAAACGCACTTCGCCGTTAAATGCCGGTGTTTGCGGAAAAGCATGTACCATCATGCACCCACGGAAAGCAAAAGAGACGACAAAAAAGGAAGGAAGAAAGAGCCAAGGAAATGGAAAAGGAAAGGAAAGGATTGGACCCAAAGGATCGAAATTAGAGGAAAACCCGGTAAGCGGAGGACGTTTCGAGAGTAGCATGTGTTTTACATATTCATTATTTTTATGATATTATATATATATGTGTGTGTTAAACGACGACATATTGGATTGTAATTTGTGTACTCTTGCTAGTGCCCACTAACTTCTGAATCCAGGCGAGGTTTAATGAGGGGGCAATTCACGAATTCATCTTCACCTGACATCAATCAACCAACCTGGAAACAAGGAGCATGCGTGAGAGAGGAAGAGTGTATGGGGCATGGCGTTGAACTTCGGACAAGAGGGCAGTTTGCCTGATCATGCTACCTTTTGAGCTCTATGCGCTTGAGTGCAACTAAATTGGTCATCGGGTGTTTGGACAGTTGCTCAAACAGCAGTTCATTTCTATTTTTTTGTTTGAAACAGTCAGTCGATCCATCTAAAGCGAGTACCCATGGATCTGCGCCCCCTGTTCCTGCCAGAGCAACTTCTAGCGATCCTGCTTCAACAGTGTGGCATATATACAACACGTAGCTACATTTCACACTCATTCACACTAAAAAAGCATCGCGACCTGCTGTCCATGATCCCTCCCCTACGCAGGTGTTAATTCCTGAGCCCAGTCGCCATTTTACAGGCGCCAGCCTTTGCAGAAGTTCGCTTAGTTTTATCTAGTGCGAGGGTTTTCTGTTACTCACCGCTCACCTTAATGGATCAATCAGTTGAGATGCAGAGACCGCAGGATCTCCACAAATTCAAGATAATTCAAGACCAATGGATCTCCGTTGGACAAATCATGACAAATCGTTGATCCTGGGTGTTTGCATGTCACATGCGAGAGAATGCGAGAGAGCCCCGAGCTTGCCTGTATATCCTAGCTGAGGTAATGCCTTTACGAAACATTTGCTGAGATGGGACTTGGTCAACCGCTTGGCCTTTTAGCCTGCAACAGATCGACATGTTTTTGTTCTGTGACGGGTTTGGGCAAGTTGCCTTTGCTGGATGCCCTTCAGTTGGCGATCCTGACCATCAAAAACGCAACACCAAATGCTTTACTTCCTCGATTGCAAGCATCCACATGCAGCACAAGTGATGCGTGGTGCATTATATATATATGATGTGTGTGTGTGCCAGGCGATCTCCCCACCAACATTCCTGGCAATTGGAAGGTGGATGATGGTGTGAACGGCTCCTGCCTTACCCAATGGGTACCCCATGAGGTGTTGACATCTTGTTCGTCCATCGTCCGATTCATCCGCATCCGCTAACGATGCCCACTCCCCATCGCTGATGCCCGCCACATCCCCGGCGGAGACCGGTGCCCCGCGGTGTTGAACCGCACCCCCGAGGCCGAGAAACCCAGCGGGCTGAGCGTGTCGGAGACCTGCTCGCTTTGAGTCCGGTGGGGGCTCAGTGCCCAGCCCCCCGCTGGGCCCTTGAAACGATTATGATTAGGAAAAGGGGAAAAGCTTTTAGCCTTTGGAGATTTTTGTTGGTGTCCCCCCACTCAAATGAGGAAGAGGGAAAAGGTTCGCCTTTCTTTTGCAGGGAAACGGAGGGAGTCAGGAGGCCTGCAGCCCCCCCCCAGCTCGTGGGTTGTTTTGATGGTTGGAAGCCGTTGGGCGGGAGGTTTTGTGTGAGATGTGACCTGACTGAACATGCCCGACCACCATAGATTCGCTGAAAAGTCGGGCATGTGATGCGGCATATGATTGTTTCTTTTCTGCGGCCCAGGGCACAGTGCATCCCAAAAATACGTCCCCTTTGTAATTTGTTTGTGCTGTAATGAAATGGAGGATTGGGGATATATGATCAGACAGGAGGCCCGTGGAGCAACTTATTGCAAAACTGCCAGAATATATATGCTAGTCCTGACTCAACACAGCTCAACACCATCTACTCGGACTTGTAGAAACGATCAAATTTGTCCACAAAGATATTTACATTTTTCAGAGATTTATCCAACCCTCACACGGCCTCAAGCCAACATTAGTTAGTACCCACCCAGCTGGTACTCGCGCATGGTGTCAGGGCAAGATAGTATGTTGATGCCACAACCCCCCAGATCGAGCTTGTTGCCATATGGACCCCACCGGTGCCATCCAACCGAAGGCAGTTGACACCTTGCACCATGGACGTCCCTCGCCGTGAAGAAAGGATTGCACAGCTTGTCATCCCAGTAGTCCAGATCCAAAACCGGGCTGAAATCAGATATCGAGATATCTCGAGTGCACGTGCTCCCCCCCTTCCCGGAATTCACAGACTCCACGATCCAAGGAGCTTTTGTTGTTGGCACGGCAGTTCTTTGCCTTGCATGCTTTGCTGGGTTCCTGGGCGGAGTGAGTTGGATCCAGTGGTGATCGAACGACAAGATTTGAAAAAGGATTGGAGCTGAAGGGTGAAACGACAAGTGATGGTGGATCTTAGTTGGGAGGAAGAAGTTGCAAGACAATTGATGTTACATGCAGGTTGAGAGACTCCACCTAGTTTGTGTGCCGCCTCATTTCACTGCAGGTCTTGAAGCCACACTTCTGTTCCCTGCCTTGTGGCTGGCGTTGAGTTTTACACCCCAGATTTGGAACATGGCTTTTGTCCTTGTACACTCCCTGAAATCCTGGAAGTGGAAAACCACCTGTTTAGAGGAACATGTTCATCCTAGCTTCCTCTTTTGGGGGTGCTTAGTTACCTCAAGGCTCGATCTGAGCGACTGGAGTGGTTTCAGAACTACAGTTCAATTCCTGATTCGCCTCGTGCTTCTTGACGGTGTCGTCATATGTTGTCATGGTCCTCCAACTCCCAGTCCATTGGGTCATCAGCTCCACTTGGAGACGGTCGATTCCCGAAACGTTTGAGCCACGTCAGTGGGCCACACCTTTTCCATCGAACCTGGGGATGCGGCCAAGGCTTGCTAGGTCTTTTGGTTGAGGCCTTGGCGCAGACCGTGACCTTGGCAGGCCTTTGGAATGCGCCTGAGCCAAAGCATTCAGTCAGGTATACTCAGAGGAAAGGCCAAGAAAGTGGCATACCTTTCTGTACCTTTCCATATATGGGCGTGCATGACCGCGAAGACCTCCAAATACATCCAAATACCAATTCCGGGTTCGGGGCCTACAGCGTTCCCACTATACTTAGTAGGTCTCCAGGACCCGTCGTGAATCACGGGTCGTTAGCGGCGCAAGGGCATGTCACCTGGGTGGGTGTCACGGGTGTTGGATGAAGGACATGTTTGACACAGATGGTGTTGGATGCCGGAGCACCTGCAACAAAATCTTGACCACCGGGCTCACTCTTTTGCAACGAGTGTCGGTCTTTTCCTTCCCAGCGGCCCAGTTTCCCACTCCCCCAATCCGGCAGGTGCTTGCTCAGATCTTCCCTCAGAACCAGCGCATGCCAGGGGAGACATGCCCATCGGGAGACGCCAAATCCATTACCATCATTGCCTACTACTCCCCTGCAGATTAACATGGAACCCCAAAACCACTGGGTTGTAGAGGAAAATGGTCTTCCACAGGTCAATTCTCAGGTTCTAGTTTGCGGGGGAGTATCTGGTTTGGAGGATCGGTTGACTTTTTTTACGCCGACCCTGTCGACAGACGATGCCACGTCCGGTTTCAGCCACGGTCGGACGAGGTGGCATTTCCCGTCACTGGAATGCACTTCGCACGAGAGAACGGCGGAACCAATCGAGCCGTACGCTGGTGGATTGCTTATTGGCTACTGGAGAGGCTTGGCACCATGCGACAGATGAGCATCGCTTCTTACTAGGAACAAGAAGCTACTAGTAACAAAGGGCATCACCCAGATGTGTTTTTGCTCGTTCTTTCATCCAGTCCGCACTGTGCACGTTGGAAGTTGGCGAGCTGGTATCACAAAGCTGGCCGGTGCCAGTCTGCAGTGTGGCGATAAACCGAAGCAGTGCATCGTGTCATTGGCATGCTTTACAACATCTTGATCGATGAGATCCCCAATAGTATCCCCAATGATGCATGTTCCAGAAACTTTGGGGTGCTCCAACCTGCTACACTGCTATCTATTTAGGGGACCGCTTTTATATGCTAATTTATACTCTCAAGGTCTCCCCAATTCCGTCGGCCAATGACAAAGCGACCAGCGACCTTGGGAGACTCTGATTGTCGTACATGGCTGCACATGCTACTACCACTGCAACTTAGTTAAAAAGCACAGCTGTTGAAGCGAGGTTTGCGGTTCTCACCTCACCTCACCTTTTGGAATTTCTAATTTATGGCCTTTGTATGCCTTTGTGGTGTGACACATCGGGTTTGACCCGTCGACCAGAGGGCACGACCTGAGGGATTGTCAAATGTCCCCCCCCATAAGACTCATAAGACCATTTACTGTAGTTTCACCACCGATTTCGGAGATCTTTTCTTTGACAGGGGGCGACCTGTAGATTCTAGACCATCCCTCAAAATCCCTCATGTGTCTTTGAATGATCTGATCCATGCACCTACTTTTCTGAGGACCTTGTTCAGCTTCTTCCAGGGCCTCAGCAGGGGCGACACAAATCTGCGAGTGCTGGCACTCTATGGCCTGCAGTGGCGACTTGGCGGGCAAACCACAAGAGCAACTCGCCCAGCCGAGCCTTCAAACGTGCATCCGTCGTAGCATTTCCCAGCGGTTCAGCCGTATCACCCAGCGACATGATTTGCATGAGCCTTGACAACAGGAAGTATCTCACACATTCTAATACCACAGGGCTTCGAAAACAGTCCCTACCTTTGCCTTGATGCAGTCATGTTTATCATGCTCACTGCTTTTTTCCCAATGTTTGGTCAAGCTGGGATGAACAAGAACACATTCGCAAATGTTCTCTGAGTGACTTTGATTGACCGTGGTGTTTGCCTCGGTGTGGACGGGAGAAAATTAGCCCCTTTGCTCTCCAGATCCTGCCTGAAGTGGGGGGAGCGAAAGGGACAGCATATACCAAATAAAACCCACTGGAAATCTATAGATTCTTGGTGTTTGCTTGCCACCCAGCTTCTGACCATAGTCACCCCGTCGTTCGGAACAGGTTTTTGATCATGACCCGTCATCCGGGAAGTGGCCATCACGCAGTGCGATCCCAGGTTGGCCTTGGCCAGGCTTTGGTGCTGGCTGCATGTGCAGCAAACCTCCTCGGTGCCTTGGCCTTTGGCATGGTGCCACATGGATGGCCGCAGCATGTGGCAGTGCATCATAGACATGTTTTAAGGCAGGGGTAGGCTAGTAGTCCAGAAAACGGAGAAAACATCACAATGACCTTGCAACGACCAGGCACCAACATCAAACATTCGCAATAGGCACGACCAGGCCGGTGTGGGACTTGAAATGGTGATGCCTGAAAGCTCCCAGAAGGCTCATGACATCTCATGACATTGAGGTACAGTTCTACTTGAACATCGTCATTGAGAGTGGCAAGGAGCATTGGCTGAGCCGGGCCACTGCCAGCACCATCCGCAGCACTCGCAGCACGTCTGTCGACACTCGGACGCACATGATGTGGCTCAAAGTTGGACCATATTGGAGCCATTTGGGGGCAAGGAGCCCCTACTAGCATCCTTGCTCCTAGTAGCTTGTTCCTAGTAGTACGGCCAGGGGCCCCTAGTAGCATCCTTGCTCCTAGTAGCGATGCCAGGAGCCCCTAGTAGCTTCTTGTTCCTATACTAGTACGGCCAGGAGCCCCTAGTTGGATTCGCAAGGATATGGGAATTTGATTTATATCTTGCGGTGCGTATTCTTGCGTGAGGGACTCAATCAGGGGACACCTCTCAATGCAATGGGTGTGCTCAAGATACTTTCCTACCTAGCCACAGGTTTTTGGGCCGCATCATTTGCAACAGTTTGTTTGCTTATACGGTTTCAAGTATCAATGACTCAGAATATTGAAAGGCATTCTTTACGAGACTGTCCATGTTTGCTCCTTTCTCATATCAACGTAAATGGCACGCGTACACACTTTCTAAAAGTGAATGGTTTACTGGTTGTTGGTGCTCAAATGCAAGCATGATGCGCGTTCAGCAACGGTGTATAGCAATTTCAGGATGGATACTTGTCAAACAATTCAAATCACAATGTTATGCAGCAAGTGGTTCAGTAAACTGCACCGAAAGAAAGACCTTCTTGTGAGAAACGTAACAAGGGGGTCTTTGGTTTCTAATTTTTGCACAACACCCAGATACACCAGTATTGCGGAATGGTTCTGATTCTATAGCGACTTTGGATTCTTCTTTGCTATTTGCTTGCTTCGCTGCTTCACCTCCCCTAAAAGGAGGCCACACACACACATACACACGCACACCACCTGCAATGCACACCAAGCTACATTTGTGCCCTGCCTCCGCGAGGACCTGTTGGCTGACAAGACCTTTGCGGATGACAAGTACGCCTCGCGCTTAGCCGAAAGCGTCGAGAACATGATCCGCGACAAGCTCCGGGATGAGGCGGCGATCATGGCCAAGGCGAGCGCAGCGAACGGGACGGGCAAGCCTGGGTGATGGAGGACCGGAGATGATGAATGGGTGGTTGGGGGTTCTGCCAGTCAGGTGGTTTTGGTTCCTCACTAGCAAGGCTAAACAGATCAGAGCCCTAAATTCTGAAGAGATGTCACCATACATGCGAAGTTCAAGCTTGGAACGCCCTAATATGTTTGTGATGTGCTGCTTGAGGCCAAGAAGCATTTCCAGCGCGGGAATCTCATCGTCGTCCTTGTTTCCATCGAGCGGATCGATATGCGGAAGATGCTCGAGTCGCTTTTCTTGCAGGTTTTGGTGCGCGCGCTCTCAAGTGTATAGGCTGACTATGGCTGACTTGTTGTTCATCAAAGATGGCTGGCTTACCAAGGTGCTTCCGGGATTCCTTCTCTCAACAGTTGTTTTTTCCTTCAGGCCATCATGCAGGGCCAATGCAGGGGGACATTGTAGCTATGGCACTTCGACTTTAGACGAAACATGTTTTCATACTTACCAGAACTTCAGGGACTTCCATGGAAGCATCCATACAAATAGGCTGAACAGCAGAAGCTCAAAGATTTCAGAAGCAGACCCCCAACTACTTGAAGCCCTTGATTTGATGAACAGATATGATCACTTCACCAGGCTGAAGGGTGAGCAGCATCGTCTACGGCGAGTGGATCTGATCATGAAATGCCTTCGCTTCATACCCATTCCGCTGAAATTCGATGTGGAGGAAGTACTCCTCACCCAGCTTTGCACCTTGGCGCTTTTGATTCGTGTCGCTGTCGGCTGGACCCGGTGCGATGAAACCCTGGGGTAACACGACCAGAGGTGGAGATGACGGAGCTATATGGAGCTACATCCGCATATATGTTTGGACACATCCATGGATGATCTCACTGCGATGCTTGATGATTATTATATACATATATATAATGAATGCATATGCTAGTTATGTTTAGTTTGTTCTGATTCATGTGAGATGCACCCGGAACACTATGGCTCCCGTCACAGGCTTACAAGCAAGAGCAACTGGAAAGATTCGCCAAGTATTGGGTTGCCAAAGTTCATCAGAGTTCGGATGTATCCAAGCTGGTGGCCCGAATCCTCACTTGAGGTCTTCCTCTCAATCAAGTGGTTCCCCTTGTTGAAGGACCCTGAAATTGAAAGCTCATTCTCGTTCGTGCTGAAGCTCAGGTCGGAACATGATTGGGAACGTGCCATCCCAGCTCACTCGACAGATGTGTGAGATCGGAGGGGTGAATGTCCTTTGGCCGAATCGAGTCGCCATGGGACGAGTTGACGAGTCTCAACGAGTCTGGTTGTGATGGCGAAGCGGCGAAGCCTTTGCTGCCCGGTGGGACCCAATCCCCCTTCATTTCTGTGAATGATGTCCAAAGGTCAAGGGTTTTTCGGGGTCCTGAGTTTGACTACAGTGAAATGCCTTCCAAGCTCTTGACATTACAAGACATGTGAGTTTTTCTTTCGGTTTTGGCCTGTCAACTAGCCAGCCAGATGAACCCAGAATGCCCTGATGAATTTTGTTGGATGTGTGTTTTTCCGGATGCACCTCTTGACCAATCGGTTTTAGTAGGTCGCCTCAAGTCGCGTCGAAGGTTGCGACCTTCGTTCTTGCATGACCTGCACGACCTGCAGGTGGATGTTGAAGCCAAGTCGAAAGATCAACAGGCTGACTACCTACTGGAAGCGATGCGACAGCTCGACGAGGCCGATGTTGGCTGATGTTGGCGCATGTTGGCGGTACAGACGCCTGACTTGTTCGTGGCACACGCCTTACGTGAGCAATGATGAATGTCTGAAATGGTTGGTTTTGCGACCTCATCATGAATAGATAGCTTTCTTGTTCTCCCCATCAGTGCAGTGAGAAAATTTGTAGATTCTCAGCTGAATCAGCCAGAGAAAATGAGTAGCGCTTTATGTATGACAACTTTCTTGTTAGCCTTTTGATAAGTATCCCATTATATGTCCCTTTCTGGGAGAAATCGTGCATTTGAGGGTGGCGATGTACCTCACTGCCTCGGATACTTCAAGTCACACCTTACAGTCAGCTGTAAATGGGTGCCACAAGAAAGCATGATGAAAGACCCACGCCGGGCCCGCCAGGAAGACATCCAGGAGGCCAAGAACCGGCGGAGTTATGCCTTTGGAGGCGACGAGGTTTGGCCCTTCTTCTGTGGCTATGGCCATGCCAAGGTGCGGCATGTGCCAACCACTGCTTGCTATCCCAGGCAGATCGCGTGGGCCGCTCGTGCCAGGGTCGTGGATCGTCAGCAGGGGCCCAGGCTCTGACGATCAGGTGCTTTAAAACGATCTTCAACTACCAGGACCTTCAAAGTGACCTCTTTGAAGTCTGTAAGTGACCTCTTCAGGAACTAAGTGACCTCATTCTGGGATCTCAAAGGGTCACTTTGAAGGTCCTGGTACTGGTAGATACTGGTTGCCGCATTCTGATTTCAGTGCACTGGCTACTGCGGGAAGAGCTGCAAGTTTCGTCGCAAAAGAACCACCAGAACCGTTCTTCACAGTCCCAGGTGTCCCAAGCGACAGTTGAGAGTGACCTTTTGGGCAAGACATGGCAAGGCTGTGTTGAACTCTTGGCTTTTGTAGAGGCATTCCCTGCCGTGACTTCTTGGGTTTTGAGGTAGGATGTGTGCTTCATCAGCGCTAGAAGCCCTAGAAGACGCCACAAGGACCATATAAGGACCATATGGGCCGAGGGAGTGGCCGAAGGTCAAGGCTTCTGATCAGGGGGATTTAACAGTGCATTGTTCTCTTCTTTCTGGCTGGTCCACCGGTACCATTTCAACATGAGGAAAAGCCAATTGATCACTTCGCCACTTCTTTTGTGCTCCTCACAGCGCGCTTTCTCATGATTCTCGCAGGCAAATCACTTGCAGCATATCTCCCAACGTCCCTGACTGAGCGTGTGTAGGTTGAAGCTCTCTCAGTGGTTGGTCGCATTCCGTCGAATGCTGCAAAACTGCATCGTGCATCACTGCAATCCCTCAAGAACAACCGACACTTTTTCATGCCCTTTGGAACCTTTCAGCAAGTTGTGCTTTTTTTCAGTGGTGTGCGAGGCCGGGCCGATGTGTTCCAATTCGATGTCTCACCCCGGATTATGATGGCTTCGTCTCACACAAGCAGAGGCAAAGCAGGCAGAAAAAGCTTTAGAAGAGGGTTCAAAGTTCAAGTGGGCAACATCTCAAGCAATTTCAAGCAAACGAAGAAACTTCTATACCACGGGCTTGGTTGGAGAAATGCCGCCCATTAGATTCATTAGATCATCGCCATTGGGTGAGATTAGGTGTAGTTGTTGTTTCAAGTCAGGCATTTCTTGGCAACTAGTGTTTGACCCGCATGCAGGTTGCTCAATGCTCAATGCTCGGACAACATAGGGCACCATGTGGATAAGAATACTTTGTGTTGGGAGCCGTTGGGAGGATTGACCGCAATTAAGTTTGACCACAGCGGTTCCCCCAAGAAAAACAGGAATTTTCTAAATCAATGGAATGGCTGGGACAAGAGATTCCCCCACACACCTAGCAGAAGTGTGGCTAAGATGAAAAAAGGCTGCGCCCACAACATCCCACAACAAAACCTCCCCAACAAAAAGCACAAGTGTTCCCCGTTTCACTGCCGGAACTTGGCCACAAGCCTCAGGTTTGTCGTCCTCGCAAAGCGCCAGATCCAGTTTCGCCAGATCGAGTGGCGTGTCGCGACGAGGGGTCATTGCCCATACAGTAGTTTTTGTTGATGCTTCACCGTCTAAAAGGTGTCTTTGATAAAGGTTTTCTGAACCGGTATTGACGCTCTGAATTGATAGATAGACACGGATAGAAAAGTAGAACTTCTGCAGTATTGGATAGCTTTCTATTTGTTTGGGGGCCATGTAGTAGACTTGAACTGGTGATATTGTCCATAAATATAGCCGTCTGGCTTTTGTGACCTTGGGCCATTGGAAAGTCTTTGCGGCCACGCGACTCGCTGATATATTGGATATACCCTGGACAATTCAAATTGAACCTGCAAACCACTGGATTGTAGAGGAAAATGGTCCTCCTTGCAGGTCCATGCCATCAAGTTCCATGTGGGTCTCGGAACCCGGGTGTAGACAGGGCGGTGGTCCATGGTTGTCGGTGGTCCATGGATTCCAACGCTTATAAGGTCGTGCAGGTGCCGATATGCGATACGGAACATGTGTGAGCACGTCACCGGTTACACCCCCCACGTCGGAGGTTTTAATAACGCATCCGAGGCAATGACTAGTGACTAGGGCTGGCTTCCTGGAGGCTTTGTGTTTGTTTTTGTCGATGGCTGAACATCAATTTGGCAAGACGAGCTCAGGTCAGTCAGAACACTCACATCAGGGAGGAAGGCACGGACAGCTCAGACAGACCTCCCCCTGCAGTATGAAGTGCAAGTGAAATAGTGAAATGCGTGGACACCCATGCAGAAGGGATCAGTTCAAATGTCAACGTACAACATGTTAATTATAGTGCACTTCGTGCGACTATTGCGCACTCCTGCGGAAACGAATCCAGTTCGATGTTTGTGGGGGCGACCTCAATAAGATCAATAAGTGGGAACATGGTGGCAAATACCTGCATTCTCAGTCGGCAACCTTCAACCTCTTTTGCGAGATTGGGGACACCTGGCTCACTTGTAACAGGTGGACACATTGGTTAACCGTTATTTTCCATGGAAACGGCAAGTCAGAAGAGGCGTGTAGCCACCCCCCAAGCTTCTGGGTTGTTTTGGTTCGTGGATGGCGCTGCCGTTTGTAACAATTTTGGCCGTCAGATTGGATATTCACCAAGGCATGAAGGCCTAGGCCGGCATCGACCTCTACGTGATTGACTTTGAAAATATGCTACTACCGATGCCCTGAGACCGTAGAGAGAGGCGTAGAGAAGCATCTCAAGGTCTTCCCAAGCTACCTTCTATCCAAAAAGCTTGCATGGAAGTGAATGCCATGACTTTCTTAGGAAGACGACCTTTCCAGGATATGTTGACCTACCTGGGAGGTCAAGCTGCGTGGTGGACCAGCTCTCCAGCTTTTGACCCATCCCGGATCATCCTCATTTCCTTGGCAAACAGCTGGTCTACTTCCATCATGATTTGAGACTGCTTCTGCTTTGTGGAGGGTTGTCCTTCCTCAGCGACCCAGCAGAATCAGCAGACGTTCTTCATTCCTTTCGGTCAGGTCCAGTCACCCGGAAGGGATACAAGACCTGCACTCTCAGCTGCATGGCGGAGAGGTCTCACGGGTAGGGACCGGTAGGGAGCGGGCGCTCTGGAAGAGACGAGGGATGAAGAAGGAGGGAGAACTGGTGCGACATGCACTGTCCGTCTTAGGATTTCCAGTGTTTCGCATTGTGTTCCAGGGCAGCTCCCTGGAGTTGATCCTTCGATGATCATTGGTGGCCACTGGTGATCACGCCCGTGTATGTATGTTGTTTGCTTCAAGTGGGTTTCAACTTAATCCACTGTATGTTGAATCATGTTGAATCCCACTTCAATTGGATTCTTCCCTGACTTGTCAGTAGGATTCAGCTGCTTGTGCTCCAGCTTGCTTGTACTTTGTCCGCATAGCGGCAGGACGCGTGAACTCGTGCTCGTTCGCCTCAGCGGTTTGTTGTCCTGAAACCGATGTTTTCTGACCACTCGGCTGCTGGTGTTCACTGACCGCCTTCACTGACCGCCATACATGTATATATTATGTAATTTTTATATGTGTAAATTACACATGTGTTCCCAACAGCTCAACCAAGAGAAAAAGAACGGCCATGTAAACACCAAAGCACAGCAGGCACGATTGCAGCTCACGCTGTCTCTTCATTGGCCATTGATGAACGGAGCCAGTTTCTACCCCTACGAAGTTGAACCCCACAGTAGTGACCCATCCACAGATGCACACAGCAAGAAGCAGAAGGTCGTCAGGTAGAGTAGAGGATGGTAGAGGGTTGGTGCGTTTGGTGGATCTCTTCTAGATCGCACGGCCAAGTAACTCAACTTTTGGAGGACAAACCAGCTTCGATCGCAAAGCCTGGCATGTCATACTCAAAAACGCATGCTTCCCTCTCCCAAGTTCAACCTACCACCCACACCCCTCTGTCCATTGGTGCCCTGGTTCTAAACCCAGATGCTTGCAGTCTCTCTTTTCTCAAGTCTCACCCTACTCGGGTGAGTGACAAGCAGAAAAAAGGCAGCAGCAGCAGCAGCAGCGCGGGAACAGCACCTTCCCACCAAGGCTGAGACACGAAGTCGTGAAGCGAAGGCGGAGATCCAATGGCTCCATGACGAGCAGCGTGCACGAGCTGCCCAGCACGCAGAGCACGCCTCGGAGCTCTCTGGGCGGAATGGCCGAGAGCTACCCAGGCATTTGGGGTTACGTTGGAGAGGGCCAGAAACCTAAGTGTTTTTTTCCGAGGACCACCAGCCGAAGGTCTTTTTGAAAAGGTTTTCTTGCTTGTTGCGTTTTCGAGTGTTCATTTAATGTTCATTTGCATACAGCAAATTGGCGTTGCCACGGAATTCCTTCGATTCGGAAAGCCATATTTATGCGGCATGCGTTCCGTTCGAACATTTTTGAACATCGCCGCCACCATTCCATGCCGATAGAAGTTGCATGACGTTCTAGCTACTTCAATTCGTGCAGTTGCAGTTTTGAATGGATCATGGTTTGCAGTTTGCCATTTTGAAAGGCATCTACCGCATCTAGCACCTGTTGTGCGCATCAGCACGTGTGCTCTTTTCCTTGGGCATTCTTTTTCACCTCCAGCGATCCAGCCCCGGTGGAGACCTGGTGTCCTACGACGTCCTACAAGCGTTTTTCCCATCATTGAGATATCACTTGCAATGGTTCCATGGATTTTTCATGATGACCCATGAGTAATGTCACTAGTGGAGATGGGAATCCATTTGAAACTTTTTGCTTTTGTGCCATTGACCTGCAGTAACTGGAGTTTTGCCGATTACTACTTGTTGAACATGCACACTGGTACCCTACCGAATTGGCGATTCATGCGCTGCTTTGCAGGCCAAGGGAGCCAACCCCGTTTGAACGAGGCGGTCGGCACTTTGAACCACATCAAAGTGGATGTGACATGGGTAGACCATGTTGAGCATATATGTAACGTAATTATACGTAATTATGTATTCAATGCAGACCTATATATCTACATGCAGTCAAGGGGTTATTATTGCACCCTTTGACAAGGTGTCAAAGGTCTCTTTGGGTGTCTTCAGAGTCTAATTGCTGAAGTTCCAAGTAGTTCATTTGTTGAAAAATCACTGCAACCCTGCATGAGGAACGATGGAGATTCTGTAGCTAGATCTATCATCAGGAGGGGTTTGGACTGCAGACCAGGACTATGATGAGATATATATATATATATTCAATTGTTTCCCGTGCATCCAGTCCGAAGATTGAGTCACAGGGACGGAAGGGGAGATTGAACACTTGTCCAGTGCCCAGATGGAATGATTTAGCATGGACGAGCTTTACAACAGGGACAACTGTTGTTTTGATAGGACCTTTGTGCAAGGGTGACTCGGTCGGAAGGAGAAGTCAACAAAAGAATATGTTACGTTGGAGAAGGAAGGAAAGGCGTTGCGGCAGCCGTTGCATCGGGCGTCTCGCAAATCACAGGCGATGCTGGCTCAGATCGCAGCTTTCCATTGCCAGAGTCAGCCCAGGAGAGGGCGAGGGGACAAACATTGTAGAGCTTCGCACACCGGCGATGCCAATAGTCGTTGTTTCTATATACTACGCGTGCGTTCGCCCGCCAAGAACACGTGCATGCGTGTTGAATCATGTTTAACATTGTTTAATCATGTTCCCTGCTTTTAGACAACCACCAGTCAATTTGTTTGAACCATCGGAATCGGAACCCTTAAAAGTACACTGTGAATGCAAGTGTTTTTAAAAGCCTTCGCAAGCCCAAAACCACGGCATTTACGTTTTTCCTCCCCAAAACATTTTACTGTTGGAGTTCTCTCTTAGGAAAAAAGGCTGGCCACAGTCTCTGCCGCACCCCTGCACCCTGTGTCCGGGTGTCCTTTGGCCGCGCTCGCGAACCCTCTGTCCTCCCCTTGTCACCTTGGTGTCATCCTGCTCTCCTTTCGCCGTTGTCCTCTCGTTGTGCTGGTGTCCTGCTCTCCTTTTTGGCCGCGCTCGCACAACTTGTGTCCTCCTGCTGTCCTCAGGCCACGCTTGCGAGCCCTGTGTCCTTCTCTGGTCCTCCTGGTGTGGCCGCGCTGGCGAGCCCTCTGTCCTTCTCTTTTCATGTCCTCCGGCACGGACCGTGATGATAGCCGTGGGCGTGCTGTGGACCCTGCCTTCTCATAGCATGACACAGCCCAGGAAGTGGGGAAATGTGGGGAGGATTGAGGAAAGGGTGACGATGGGACAGAAGCACAGAATCTAGACATTGGTAATTTTCTCGGAAGCAGTTGCCCATGCAATTTTTTAGGCAACGTGACGGCTGACACTGACATCTCTCCAGCGCTCACCAGACTCCGTGTCAGGAACACACCGGCCCCGGTCCGCTCACGCTCACGTTCAGAACGTCCTAGACTGCTAGACTGGGGTCGGCAGATTTGGGAGGAAGGCCGTGTAATACATGCTAGAGCTCACATCTCACACGGACAGGCGCATTCTGGGTGCAACGTGTTAAATTCGAGCTTGCGTAATTGCAGCACAGCCGGCCGTTCGTCAAACTTGGGAGGGTACTAGTTGAATGTAATGCTTGCTCGCATATTGTGCCATCTACACTGAAGTCAAGTCACCACAATGTGCACGAGGCGACGTCTCCTTCGTCCTTCATTGCCAGGACTCCTCCCCTGTCACCAGTGAAGGAACGTGGAGAAACTCCATATCGCACCGTGGCACGCAAAGACATTCTTCAAACCAAGGTGCGTTTTTCCTACAGGATCTCTCTACAGTATTTCATGCAAGCCCTTGCTTGTTCAATCAGTTTCCATATAATTCGTCGCTTTTGTTTGTCACTTCATGTCACTTCGCTACACATATAATACCGCCAGGTATTGCATGCCAATGATGGTCACTTGGCGGAGGGATGGGGGAACCAAATTGGGTGTGTCTCTTTTTTGTTTCTTCGGGATAACGCACTTCTTGCCTTTCAAAGATTAATATGTAAGAGTGCATGAATTGGCAACGAATCTTGTACATGAGGGGAAAAGCACATTGACTTGACATGATTGGACCTCTCTTTGATAGTTCCCAAGTCTTTTGTTTTTTGTTCCTAATGGTTTGTCTAGCTTATCCTCTCTGGATGCTCTCCGGATGCTTGTGAATCAGACTTTTTCATTTGTGCTGCCCTCTCGCCAGATGCTTCAATCGATCAACTAGCTGGCTGGTTTGTGCTTGAAACCTATTTCGACGACCTTCCTGTAGGATGACTGATCACACTGACTCAGTTTGGGGCCAGGTGGTGTCAAACACCGCTGCGACATCTCCCTTGAGTGAGAACCATGCCTTCCAACACGCAACGAACGGTCTGACTCCCTTTGTGGGTAGGTCAGACCTGTTGTTTGGAGCACTCGGAAGGCTTGGAAGGCTAGGCCCGAAGCCCTCGCATGAAAAGCATCGACCATCGACCTCATCCGTGCAGGTCTTGCTGCCGTGCAGGTCCGTTTCCTGAGTTGCCAATTCACTGAGTCGGCACGGCAAAGGATGAGAGCTTGGAGCATGCTCAAACCCAAGCTCCTTGGGTCCAAACCAGAGCCGGATAATGCTGTGCAATTGCCGACCCCGTCATCATTGCCAAAGTGTCATTGGAAATTGCCACGAAGGATAACATGGTTCATGTCTCCCCACTTCGCAATAAGCAGGAGCTTTACAAGTTCAATGGCCAATTTCTGGCCTGAACCTCATTAACACATGTTTGCACTTGGGAATGTTTTAACTTAGTGATTCAAGATCTGGACCCGACAACAGGATGTACCCGATGACGAGCCCCCAAGAGTTGCTGTGGGCCCATGTGGACCCTTTTTTTGTGGTGCCTATGATTTAAAGGGTTGCGCCTGGTATGTGTGGGTATCAGGGTTGAAATATGTTGAAATCCTGGTTCTCACCAACTTGAATGATTCCGAACTCCAATCTTCGGTGTGCCGGCTCATTAGGATCTTAGATGTCCCAACCTGGCTTTGCGTTTGATGCGCAGGGGTCCTACTTTCCACTTGGAGGATTGATGGCTTGAAAGGTTCTGCACAATTTGGAGGTTTGGCCAAGTCAACAGCTACACTTCACAAAAACTCCTCCCTCCAAGGGCTTCGCAGCAGATTTCGGAGCATGAATTCGCGGTCCGCACGCGGAGAGTTTCACGAAAGTGCAGAAATTTGAGACATTCGGGTGTGTGCATTAAACCAGGGAGACCTCCCAAAGACCCCTGGCAGAAGGAAAATACAGCAATTGGGTGACGGTCTCCCTATTTCAATGCAATAATGCAGACCCATTTTGTGTACAGGTGATGTTGTGAGGCTCGCCAGTTAGAAACATCGGGCGGGTCAGGGTTGAAGTGGGCTGTCAATCATACAATCATATTCACATGCCCAGGCATTGGTTCATGACAATCGTCACTTGCACTGACAGTTCTATTCATGTGCTCCGATTTTTAACTGTGTAGGTGGATGAGGGACGAGGGATGGGAGCCTGATCGCCTGTGGGATGCCAGAAAGATTCAGAAAGCTTACACTCCGACTCGGTAACATGGAAGTGGAAAACCCCCTGTGTCCAAAGGAAAGTAGTCTTCCAAGGGACCATTTTCCACTTCCATGTGAGTGAGCCAGAGTGTACCGATTTGGTTGCCATTCTTGGCCATATTGGCCGGCACTGATGGGCGCCTTTGGCAGTCGGAGTGTTGGACCAGATCAGCAGCCTTGGGTGAGGGTTCTGCGCAGCGCGGGGCAACTTCCAGCCGCCTCATCTACATCCACCTACTGCGCCCCAAGTCAGGTTTGAACATGGAATTTGGTGAACACATTGAAACATTTGGATATATTTGGATAATTTTGGATTACTTTTGGATATATTTATGTTATGTTCGATTGTTGATGTTTTTCCTGATGTTTTACTGGGTGCGAAGCTCCTCCTCCGAAGCGTCCGTCTCCCCCGAAGCTAGCCGGGCTCCCGCTGTTCTCGCTTTCGCTTCAGGTCGGGACGTCAGGTGGTTCATGTGGCCACCGTCGACCCTGAGGCCCGGGGGACGGCACCGTGACGGCTTCGGTCGTCGACACTGATGACTGATGAGTCGCTCTGGTCGACGAGACAAGACAATGGTCGAGGGATGTCGAGAGAGGTGCCACACTGGGTTCACCGGATGGAAGCGGTTCATGGGGGGAGAGAAATGACACGAACACAGGAGTTCGTGCGTTTGGGATGTTTGGGTTTCGGATGCGGCCGTGAACGGCAGGATTCCGGTGGTGGTGGCTTCAGATATGTTTGTTTTCAACCCCTACTTGGGATGTTTGAACCCAAGTGAGTTGAAACCACCAACCAGTTGCTGATTTGCGAATGGTGGTCTTTACAGCTATTCACCCACCATCCTGCACCTCAAAAATGGCACAGCCAAAAGGGCCTTATGCCAAAGCAACCCCCGCAACTGCGTGATGGACACGGAGGACCATATAACATTATATATATATTATTACAGGGCTTTCATTTGGAAGGAGTCGCAATATAGGGCTGTTGAGAAGTAAGCTGGAAGGAGACAAGTCTGTCAGTAAAGTGTTTTTGCGTCGATTCTGCTGATCATCTACAAGCCACGCAGAGGATGCTGCGTCGATGCGCCGGATTTGGACTGGAGACTACGAGAAATCCTGGTCGAAGATACTTCATCCATACCTTGGAGTTTGCCATTGGATATTCTTACATGTTCAAGCCAAAACTATTCGTGTTCCCACCCTGATTTCCCAAGTCATCAGAGGCCCAACCCTAGCCGTGCATTTTGCACTGAGGCTGCAACTCAAGCGGGTGAAGATTCTCGTCGTGGCATTTTCGCACATGCCGGGTGGCCGGGCTTGGGGTATGGAGCAGCACCGCCGAGTTTGTGATACCAAGCGTCTTAACACATCTATGACTTTTCTTTGGGGATGTGCACTGGACAGTATTGATATTCTAATAAGGCTCCAATTTGTTCTTCAATGACGAGGCAGTCTTTGTGAAGGACGGCAGCTTGTTCACACATGCGAGCGTGCAAACAATCCTATTCTGCATGCCTATACCTAGGCTTGGATCCCAGCTGTTGGTGCAAACTTCAGTGCGAGGGACAGCCTCTTCCAGAATGGAAACCGCCTATAGACCGCCTATATAGCCATTCTTCCGGGAGGTAGGATCCAGGATCGGGCTCCGCCGACTTCTTTGGCTCCAAATTCTGATCTTTTTCTCGGGAAACTGACCTCCAAACACATGAGCCACGGCTCACCAGCATCTTTGCACGCACCAGAAAGAGGCAAGGATGCCATGTGGATGCCTTTTTTGAAGAAGCATGTTTTGCAACTTGAGGGTGTGGGCCTACTACTATGGAGATGCATGTCAATGTCTATTATATATATATATATAAATAATATATATGTATATTATATTTATATGGCCCCCCCTCCAATACCCACCCAATGTGCGTGTTTTTACTGTAAATTACAGTGTTTTAGTGATATGTTGGGAGCATTTTTTGAGTGATATTGGGACCTTTTTCCATATGATTGTTTGAAACACTTTCCATACACTTTCCATAGGGGGTACCACATATATGTATAAAAGGAACCGTAAGACTGCATGCAGTACTTCAAGGATTGAGGACGGAGAAATAGTAAGACTCCAGTACTTAGAGGATTGGGGCATGAGAGAGGTACGAAGACCTCTTCGTACCTCTCTCATGCCCAAATTTTCTACTTCAGTGTAATTGCCAGACTTTCCCTGTCAGCTCAAACTATGTTCCTAAAGTTAAATTATCCTGAACTTAAATTGACAATACACCATAGCCCTAATAGTCGAATAGTATTAGAATCATGTTTTATCTTGGATGCTATAAAGTTAAAGGATTGTTGGCCATTTAGGTATTATATAGGTATATATGCGTCAAAACACACAATGAATGGATTGTTTAAAAAAAAGCATTACAGTACCTTGTAATTGTTCGTTGAGCCAAGGGCACCATCAAGTGCATCTCAAATCAATCAAACATAACAGAACTCTGAGCACAATCTAGCTTTTAATGTTTCATGATGCAGTTCTTGTGAAATTATATCATAAATCTTTCAATATGACTTTTTTGGTGATGAGTTGTGGGGCTGTTATACTTTATTTGGCGGACACTTTTGAAATGCTTGATTGTGAGAAAGTGATATGAAGAAAGTGCTTACTGTGACTGTGAGATCCTACTACATGTTTGTTCACCTCTTCAAGGTTTCAGGTGTTCGAGACCACATCCCAATAGAGGTGCTGACCCAATGATGGATGATGGTTGATGGGATTCTGAGTGAACCATGAGAGTTTGAACCACGAGTACAAAGAGAGCTTAGCATATTTGATGAGAGATCAAAGCCATGTCCAAAAAAACTTGCGTTTGAGCATGGAGGAGGAATGGGCAATGTGGTGAGGGTGGATGCCTATACTGGATGGTCTAATTGGGATGATGGGGGTTATTGGGGCTTGGAAAAGGGCGAGGATTGCAGGATGAAAGAGATGGAAGGCAAGATGGAGGCCAAAGGGCGGGCTTGATAAATAGGGGGAGGTGCCCCCACTATCAGAGGGGGTAGGGCCTGTGTGAGGGGCGCCCTTTGTGAGCTTGAAAACCTTAAGGTTTTGATAGCATGTTAATAAAACCATGAAAGCGATTTGCTAGAGAGCTTTTAGTGGTTGTGGAAAATGTTGCTTGGGAGAGCGTTGGTCATCAGAATGGTTGGTAGCATGAGCCTTCAAGAGAAGATTGAGGCAGCTGAGGGGTGGTGGTGAGAATGACCAAGATGAGATCATGAAGACACCAGCATCCAAAAAGATGAAAACACCAGCGCCAGCTGGAATGCTTTCATGCAGATGGCATGTGAAAAGTGTGGGGCAGAAGACCAGTTTCACCATGGTCAGTTTCACTAGAGTAGGAAGATTTTGGATACTACTGTAGCTGAAAAGAATGTATTTCAGCAAGATAGTATAGTTTTCTGGTGGCATAGGGGAAGCGTTCTGCCAAGAACACAATTATTAGAGGGAGGCCAATGTGGAACTTAAGTTTTAAGTTAGTTTAGTGTTGGGGGTCGAGATGGGCTTGATATGGCTTGATCAATTACGGGAGGTTACTTTTTTTATGGCACCCCATTGCCAAAGGGAGCCATCAGTCATTCTCAACGCAAAAGCTGGGTATTCGTAGGGGGTATATATATATATATTGTTTTGTTTTTTGTGTGTATTATTGTTTAGTATGTGTCGGGGGCATGCTGCCCAACATTGCCCAAGTGCTTTGACTCTGTCCCGCGCTGGATGGTGCCTTTTTTCGGCCGCCCGGGCCTTCAGTGAGGCGTTGCTTTTGGCGATCGACAAGCTGTGCGGTCGACCCAGAGGATCTTCGAAAAACGAGGGGGGAGAAGGGAAAGGGGAGGTATTAGATACGTGGAGGTGAGTACACCTGACTCACTCACATGGAAGTGGGTGGCAGGGAGGCCATTGTCCACCACAAGCAGGCATCAGGGTTTGATCCGCATCCATATCAGCGCAGTGGAGTGTAGACTCTGGAAGTTAATCGGCCTGCAATGCCATCCAGATACCTCCACATATCTGTGACCAAGATGAACAAATACTCAGGAACTTCCATCATGTTCCAAGCATGGACGGGTCACTTTGAGGTGGGACAACGGCCCATCACTTCTTCGCGAGAAGCTCCTTCCAGCAGAACTTGGATGAACTTGGGGCAGATTGGGGGTATCGCACCTTTTGGATCCTTTGGGAACATGATGATGCAACAATTACGTACACGGTTCATTTCACAATCAACACCCCCACAAACCAGCCAGTATTCCAACAGGGATTGCTCTTCGGTGGCGGTCGATGCGAACTGAGACTGGTCACAACCCGCGGTCCAGGTCCCGCGTGGGGCGCGACAACTACTCTGCCCGGGGTCTCAGAGCTTCTCTTCTCCGCAGAAAAGACGCATCCGCTTGATCAGATGCCGGCTGCAGATCTGAACAGAGCGAAGCGAAGTATCAATGTTGCCGATTTCGCGCACTGGCGAGAAGATGCAGTCATTCTTGGATGCGATTGGATGTTGGAATAGTACGGTGCTTCGGAATTGAGTCTGTTCAATTGATTTGCCTTCAAGGATTGTCACCTGCCAATGGACTTCCATGTTGGGGATGGCAAGTGCAGAGCGGAAAGACCCATCCAGTGAGGTTGGCATGCTCTTCAATGCCTGGCTCTTGGAAGCTGAGCAGGTCTTTAAGGGCCTGCAGGAGTTGGCTCGCGCCGTGGAGCGGGCCAGGCCCCAGTCGGGAAGACTGGGGAAGACGATGAATCGATCTGGATATCTGGGTTGGTTCATTCATGTTTGTTCCACGGAACCCGTGAGAGTGTGATGTTACTGTGGGATGCCATGAATGAGTAGTAATTACATGTAGCCACACCTGACATTGGCTATGCCAGCTGACTCCTATTGGTGTGTTTGCGTCCTAGTAGTGCCAACGATGTTCCAGTCCGGCACACCCGAACAGAAGCTTCTGGGCTCTAGATGGCACACGGACTTGCGCGTAAGTAAGTCTCGTAAGTTGGTGAAGTTCAGATGGGCCCGTGGATCCCCCAAAGGCTCTTACTATTGAAAAACATGATGTATATATATGTGTGTATGTGTGTATTTCTGGGTGGATATATATATATATATATATGTTTATTTAATATGCACTTATTTCTATATATCTATCAAGCCTTTGACACTCAAGCCGGCTAACAGCGGTCACGTTCACTTCTGTTTTGCCTCTACCGAGCAGACGTGGCACCAAAATCCAAGGTTAGCGGTATTAAGGCGGAATTGCAACTCCTTGGTGACATGTTTGTAGCAACTCCGTTGAATCAACGGCGTGTATTTTTGACATTCCGTTTATTCGGGGTGCTTGCTGGACTCCTAGTGGTCTTGTTTTTCCATCCACTGAAATAGACAATGGTCATGGTCGCATTTTGAGCTTGGTCTGGCTTTTTGGGGGACCAGTTGGAATCTCCAGATCCAGGTCAGTCCTTTTTCAGGCCAGATCGAAAGTGTGGAAACTTCTTCAAACCACTCCTTCGCACCTGCATTTTCGTAACATGTGGCTGCCGGCACACCCTCATCAGCGTGAACATCTTCGTTCATTGATTTGAACACCTCAGGCAGATCACCGAAGGCGCACAGTGCTTTCTGTCTCAGAAGGTTTCCACTCAGGCTGCGCCTGCTGTCGGTTGGTTTTGGGTGATGCCCATGCCCAACCAAAGGGCGACTGTACGGGTCACTCTCTCGGCTCCTGAGTGCTCTCTATGGCTCCTGAAACGGTTGGATTTCTTCATCAACAGCTCCAGGGCCTATCCATGCCTATTTGAGAGAATGCTAAACGAATGTGTCACCCAAAGTATATCACCCTGTTCGATCTTCCTCGGATCGAAAGCCTCAGCAACCCGGACCCCAGGGCCCCAGAGAACTAGTTTTCATCCAGGAGATGGAGATCCTAACTCCTGAGTTCTTCTCCCCGGACGCCATGGCCTGGCCTTTGGTACCACCAGCCCGGGACGCCCGGTCGCTGCGGAGCGGAGGGACGGCATGTGAGCCGCTGGCGAGGTCCAGGGGTTCAATGCGTTTATGATCGTTTATGATTAACTCTATCATATATATATATATGGGATTGTTGGGACTCTATCATATGTTCTAGTCAAGCAAGGGGCAATGGTTGTTGGGAGGGGCCTTTGACCGGAAAAAGCAGCAGCATTCCATGCTGGGCAACTTCAGCCGTGGGTGACCAGTAGCTTCATCAACTGTATGGAAGTGGAAAATGGATGAACATAGTCTCCTACAATCTCCTATAAGACTATGCTTTGGCCGGAGGGGTTTTCCAACTTCCATTTTTGCTGCAGGTAGATTCGATTAGGTGAATGTTGTTGCAGCGGTCGCAGCAAGAGATTGTCAGTGCAGTTTTCTCAACATGGCCTACCACACCAAGGATCAAAACATGCTTGCATGAGGTGCCAATGTGACACTGAAGCAAAGACCTGGACTTCCTGGAATGATTTTTCTCCAAAGGCTGCATCGAGAGGCCTTTGCTACACACCTCACAGGGTTTGGCAATAAAGCCTTTGACAAACCATTGGCTTCTCAACATCACACGGGTGAGCCACTTCACCTGTGCTCATGATTTCATGCACTGCGCTGATATTGGCTTCTTTGCATCTGCAATACTGCAGCAAATTTGCTACAAGCACCTGGACAAGACGACACCTGTCAACCTCATGGGTAAACCAGCTGGTCAAAGACGAGGTTTCACCACCACTCGGCACCATCCTTTGCGATGTTGGGTCGCACCAAAGAGACAAGCTATTGGGCCAGGGACCCCGATAGGAGGGTCATTCTTGAGAACTTCACCTAAGGACCTGAGGGTCCAGGACCGTCCTGAGGATGTCCCCCGGCCCCAAAGACTAATCGCTGGAAGTAAAACCATCCTGAAAAGGAACCTGGACCGTTTGGGTTTTGCTTGTGCCGCCTTCAACGCGTTTTGTGTTGCTTCGGGAACGGTGGGATCATGCGTTCTCGACGCACGGTGGACATGGGTGGCATAGCCATGGCACCTGACCAGGCGATGCCGGGGTTGTGGGCGAAGTCGGGGCATGCGTTTCTTAGCAGTTCAAGTGATGCTTCCTGGGTCTCGCTGATGGGCCGTGAAGCGGCAACACGGATCCCAATGTTCAATTCATTGCAACATATGGTTTAATATTGTTTATCTTGCGGGCGGTGGGTGTAGTCGAATTATCACGCGGTGCCACCCGTTTACACTTACACCACTCAGAGTTGACGGTGTAACACCTTTTCGTTCATCTGAGATAGCTTTTAACAGCCCCCCTATACCGGGCTTTCCGGACCAACCACACCCGTTGCAGCTGCTGTTCCCGGCTGCTGTACTTGAAGATGGTCTGCTCCTGTCCGCCTGAGCTAGATGATGCCAGCACACAGACAGAGCATGACAGAACTTACAAACTTACAAATACAGTAAGAGAATCATTGAGCTCCCGTTGAGGCCATCAGCAGCTCCCAGTCGATGGGAGTAGTTCAAGCCACCTCCGGAGCCAATGGAAGGCCCTCCAGCAAATAGAAATACAATGACTGGCCACTTGTCCAAGGCTCAGTCCCATCTGAGCAGTTTGCTTCATAAGAATCCTCATACGTACTGTTACTGATGTAAGTTCTTAGCCCGAAAAATGCACCCGAAACCGGCAGACATTTCTTTAGACTCCCGCGCTGCCCGGGCGACTCAGGCCAGGTCGTTCGGTTCGCCGGTTTTCGCGTCCAAACTTGGGGTCCTCGAGTGCCACTTTCGGTGCCGCCGGACAGCTCCCCGAGGAGTTGAAGAAGTTGGGGTTCTGGAAGTTTCATGAGTCCCCGCAGCCCACGGCCCCCCGAAAATAGTAAAATCTCGAAAGAAATAGGACAACAAACACAACAAGATCAAGCACCCCACTCTGTGGAAGTGTTTTTGGAGGGGTAGACTGATGGATCGATCGCGAGTTGGTCCCGACAAAAGACATGCCCAAGATGTTATTCCTTCACCATGTACGTGACTCTCCACCCAGCCATGTTTGGTATTCACTGCCTTCACTTCTCGCGCACGCGGACCCGCAGACGGCAGCTTTGGTGCCGGGGACCGCAGAGAGCGGGTCCCGTTTCGGTGCCGCGGACCCATCAAGGTTCCCATGTTCCAATTCTGGTCGGGTCCAATAACACAAATGCAAGTTTTTTAGTTTTTGGATTGGCCACACTGGGCCCAGCTTTGGCTGGGGTGATTCCGAAGAATGTCACAATGGTGAACTTGTTCATGACGAGTTCTTAGCATGAGCAGTGGACGTGTTCTCCTTCAACTGGAGAGTGTTGCAAGAGCTGCTGGCCATTTTGGCTCAGGCACCAAGACCGCCTCCAGTCCCGAACAATAGGGATGCTGAAAGTCTTGGTGTGCTTTTGCTTGCCCCTTTTGCATGATGCAGGGTGGGCAGAAACCATCGACCGTGCAGGCATGCAGAGGACACTCTCGCAGATGATGACCAAGGAATTTTTACTGATCTCTCGTGGCATGCAGGTGGGGGTTCAGGAATGCTGAGTATGGGCCTGTGATGTTGGGCGAAGTTGCTTTCGACCCTTGAAGACGAAGAAGCACGGGTTCCCGTTAGCTTGATGACTTGAGAGACACAGGAGGATGAGTGAGAATTTATGTTGCTTATTTCGTGTAAACTTGAGACAGTACAATTGGACATTCTCAGGATTCAGGATGTCTTTCAATGCGTTCTGTCAATCCGCCACCCTGGGCAAATGTTGCCTTGTATTGCGCCTTTTTCTTTGTAATCTTATCCTTTTCACTTGTGACAGCTCCCTGCAGGTTGCCGAAAACAAGGCCAAGCTCTTCAAGAGCAAGTCCAGCTTCAACACCACCTTGACGGCCCTTGTATTGGGTGATGCAGCTCAGGGTACCCTGCCTGCGGCGAACGACCAAGTCGTCCACGCCTTGGATCGGGTGAGCCAAGCACCTTGGCCAACTGAAAGATCTTGGTGTAACTCATGCAGGCTGGCGGCTACCTACAGCTACCTGTTCAAACCACGCTCCCCAACTTTCTCAAAACTGGTATTTGAGCAGAGGGTTGGGGGAGTAATCAGTCCTAATGTCCTAATGTTGTTAAGCACGGGTGGCCGTGGCTTTAAGAAGGTTTTTCAAGGTTTATCTCTAAAATAAACATGAGCCCCAATGGAGACATACCAGTTGTACGGGAAGATGTTCGAAGAAAGTTTATTTGTTCTCATAGGTGTTCGAAGCATTCACGGATGCTTCGTTGAGATTGGGTCAGGATCCTGAAGGTGGACATTCGGGTCTTCTTGTTTGTTATGCAAATCTGTCAATCTGTCGGGTAGATTGGATCTTTTTGATGAAGCTGGTGATATGTGGTGGCAAGTGGCACTTTAGGCGCAGATGGGTGCTGTACACCTTGAAATAGTAATATATATATATATATATAATATAACATAAAAACACATTTTTTGTATGTGTGTTTGTGTTAATTGTGTTTTGGTTTCCTGTGCTTCTCTTGCATTTCCTTGCTTCTTTGCTGTTCTTGCTTTTCATGCTTTTCTGTGCGTGTGTGGCTTTTCCTTGCTTCTCACTGCTTCTCTGCTTTTCTTGCTTTTCTGTGCGTGTGTTGCTTTTCCTTGCTTCTCACTGCTTCTTTGTTTTTCTTGCTTTTCTGTGCGTGTGTTGCTTTTCCTTGCTTCTCACTGCTTCTTTG